GTATAATTTAATTGCTGTTATTTATTTTTCAATTCAATGAAACGCACTGAGTACGTTTATTTATTATTTGAGTTTGTGTAAACATAACCCCCAAGACGGATCGTGTTAGTATGGTTGTATCTTAAATTTATGTATTTATCGTTGTTTTGTGTCGCTTTGACGGATCGAGTTAGCATGATTGTAACTGAAATTTGTGCATTTATCGTTGTTTTGTGTAGCTATAATTTGTTTATTTGTTGTCTTTTCTTTTGAATGTCTCCGACGCGACGACAACGAAACATAGACAAGAGGCATACCCAATCGTGATAACGACCGCACCTACCGAACAGTGGCGCGTAATATGCTTAACTCATCACAGTCAGTACCTGACCCTGGACAATCTCAACTATTAGGTTACAAATGCGCCCTAACACTACCCCAAAACGACTTTTCGTTCTCAATTGGCCCTCTATCAATGACATGTGTTGCCTGTACAGCGAGGCATTTTGAGAAGGAGAAAACCGGTCGGAATGCTTTAGGTTTATCAATAACGAAGATAAACATGGTCTGAGTTACACACCGGCAATCTTTGAGTTGACTCTTTTAAACTCATTGTAAATATGACTGTTATTCGTTTTGAAATAACTCCTGTAATACTTTGCAATTGCTCGAATTCGAGCAACATGTAAACTAGTTATAATTAATAGTCTAGCACTTAATGAATTTATAGAACATGGTATTTCACCTAAACGTACATCTGATGGTATTTTTAAGCCCCTGATATTTGAGAACAAAGAAAATTACCTCAACAAAATATTATCAAAATAATTTATGCACTGCTTAAAAGAAAGCCAAATTAAAGTGGTAAATAGCTATAGTATTTTGGGCCTAAGAATTGAAAAAAGTGACTAATTGCTCATTTACTTTGGGTGGTTCCAGTATGTTATTGCTAAAGCTTCTTGTTATGCAAGTATTTGTAATATTTGTCATGACGTTAACTCTATCTCCACTTCGAACAAAATACAGTGTCAGAGCTTTGATTAAGATGTTGTATGGGTAAAATATTTATGTTGTTAGAGTAGGACCGAACTTGTTATTTAAGGTTAGATTGCTCTATCACATTTGACTGATTTCTTTATGGACCGTTTATTTATGAGCCACCAGTTGATCGACAAATAACTTTGTTGTCAGGCCACATGACTTTCTTTTTAAGTGGTTATCGTATTTATCTATTTAATTTTAAATAGAGGCATGTAGACTGACGACAAGGTAATTTGTAGATCAACTGACAGTCTGTGTTAGTCGCACATCCTTACCATTAGCATTGGTTGAGTTTCCTAACACTACTGTAACAGCAAGAAGTATGTAGGAACAGTACGGAGCTAAAATAAAAATGCAATAATTTTACTTATATATAGAAAATATTAATATATTTTCATGTTTGAAAGATATTTTTTTTCTTTCAGTAGTACATTTTTAAATATGTGATAAATAAATTTAAGAATAAATAATTAATTACCCGGGAGTTAGTTTACTGATTTAAAAATAGCTACAGAATATAAATAAACAAACGTTTTATATTGTAATGTTTCTTTCAAGGAAACAACATATTATGATTATAAATAATTTTACATTTTTAGAAATTATATTTATATACCACATCTCCCAAAAAGAATGGATCAAAAGGTAACTGTCATAAACACATAATTATTAGAGATACAAATTTAATTCTATATACATATTTTTCCTACCATTTGTTCCATTGCATGACCTCTTCATGGTCTCTCTTATTTGCCCGAAGAACGTCAAGTCGTTCCAGCTCTGACCACACATTGTGGCCCATTTTACTAGATAGTTTTCTAAACTTCCCTTATCTTTGATTTCAGTTCATCTATGTTTGAGATCGGTGAGCAATACGATATTTCACAAAACCCCGTACAAAAAATCACACCACAGATTTCGTCTCTATAAACCATTCAAATGCACTGTGCTTTCAACTGCGCCTCTATATTGCAGCTTTATGTTTTGAAAATTAAAATGCTAACAACAATGCAACAGCTGATTACTGTTAAAGGGTTCTTAAACAAAACGTAAAGACGTCAGCTTTATAATGAGTCATGGTTCACTATTCTACGGCTCTTGGTAACACGTTATTACGGTTTTATTGTGTTTTGCAGCTTCGGCTATGTTTGTGTAATAGTCTTGTTATGTTTAAACACTTTCACACCTGAGGACGGGGTTGGATTTCAGGACTCCGAAACGTTGTAAAGACTTTAATAATCGTTATGGAAAATGTCCGCGATTATCTGTTAGATACTTTAATGTAAACTCACAATCACCAAAAATTAAATTAAAACGAAGAATTTATGTTTATGTTAAATTTTTATGCTAACGCAAACTATACCAATTCTAACTGTCGCAGTTCTAGTTTTGGATAAGAATATGTTATTGCATAAACAATTATCTTTAGTTATATATTTGAATTCCCATGGCAGAGTTGCCGAACAAACAATCAACATCCCTAAATTGAATTAAATTCTTACAATTTCCGTACTTAATTTTCTAAACAGATATAGTTATGTAACCACCCCGGATACAATTATTAGTTAGCAGCTGATTCTGTATGTAGACTAAGCTTTGAGCTATGGTATAAACGTTATAAAACGATGTGTTTCTGCTTTTAAGGAGAGATTAAATCTGGCCGTCAATCAACTTAATCATCCAAACTCCTGAATCTGAAGCGATTTTCTGGTGGGTAAAACAAGAAAAGTTCAACTGTAGCCTAATTATAGTTGAATCAACAAAACCATTTTTCATGTATACTAGACGAATATTACCTCATATCCTAATCAACACAATTTCCTAATGCTTACTAAGTCATTTACTGTTTCTTTTACTGTAATGTACTGTCAATTTACTGTTTCTTACCTAATAACATTCTCCGCTTTTAAGAATAGTGAACTATTTCGCTTGAAAAATGTCTTCATCGTAAACTGTTCCTGATAATAGTTTCTGTTGCAACCGGTTAAATGCAGATAATTCAGTCGATTTATTAATTTAATTCGATGTCCAGTGGATGATTTTACAATTATTTGGATAGGCCTACATGATTTGATTTAAAGTTATATCGAAACAACATCTTCATCTTTAACTTTTGAAAATCGGATCTTTTGTAAATGAGAGGACAATTTCTTAAGAATATGACATTTTTCGTTAGTAATGTATTTTATGACATTTTGCAGTATGCGTGATTTTTTTCCATTTACACGTCTACATATGTAATATTTTCAATATTCTGTATGGCAAGCGAAATGGTTCCAATTATTTATAAACTTATAAGTAAAGAGAATCAAGAATATTTATTTGCCATGAACACAGAACTCAGTGTTTTGACAGTCGTCAAAACTTAAATGTAAAACAAAATACCCCCGCCGCAGCAAACCTGCCGACTAAGCGAATTTCCATTTGTCTGAATTGATTTTCAGTTAAATATATTTTAATAACATTAGGTTTAACGAGTACCTAGGTTTGCTGCTACAAGGAAACTAATAAAGTGTGTTTTTGAGTAAAATATTGATAGCTTAGTACCAAATAAATAAATTTGCCAAGTTTGATCAAAATATATCCATAAACAAGCAAACTACAACATTTGACAATATTCTCCATAAGAATAACATGGGAATTTTAAATTTAAATTTTTTTAAATTTTCTCCTTTACTAATAATCGAACAAAAATACTTTTATATACTAAATTATTTGTTTTTTTAAGCTCTTTAAAAAGGTCTAAAGAGAAATCGGGAAATTTTGTGTTTTGAGGGTCAAAAGTGAGAAAAACCAATTTTTACCCCATAAAACCCCCCGTAAAGCCCCGTTCCCATGGTCCGATCGTGCTGGTTCGCGAACTCATTCAAGTTTATCCCGCTTTACACCTTTAAACCAAATTTCATCAAAATCGGACAAAAATTACTCAAGTTATCGCGTTCACGGACGTATATATATATATATATATATATATATATAAGTCTATATATATATATATATATATATATATATATACATATATAAAAATTTGAACGAATGGTGTTTTTGGCCTCTGGGGACATCAAAATGAAAAAGTAAATCGGTCCCGGGTCTAGGTCTTACCGTGCCACCTACGGTAATAGCTACATTCGCTAAAATTATAAAACAATGTCAATATTTGACAAAACAATAATATTTAAACAGATTGATAAATGGTATGATATGCACATATGGTATGGTATGACATTTTAGATATGCACTAAAACATAAACATGAACTAAAACTGCAATTCAATTTGATTGTATAAATAATAAAACTTCTGGAAACGTAAACTTGTGATGCAAAGGCTCATATTTGTACATTATTTAAGAACGAGCTTTATAGTTTTTATGACTGGAAATTTAGCTAATTAAGTCACATCTGAAACACAATAATATTTACGTTGATTCGATGTTTGATGTCGAGGTATAAAGTTTGACCACTTTGAGTTTGAACTCGGAAGTCTCTGAGATTCATCATCTGATTGTGTTGAAAAGAAAATCAAATTAGAGCTGTATTTATACACTTATAACGTAGTACTGTAACAACACAAAGATTTCTTTGAAAACTGTATGAGTTAAAACCCTTAAAATATACAGGTGTTTTATAAGTTCAACACTAACAGCTAATTTTGAATATTATTTTAAGACAGACCACTTAACCGATTGTTCTAATTTTTCATAGCTTAGAGCTTAGGCTACTCATATGCTTAATGTAAACTTAATCATATAACTTCAAAAATGTATTAGTCATACTTTCTATGTTGTTATTGATTTTTACAGTGTAACCTTTGGCCACAAATCCCTGTGATGTATTTGAGAATCATATGATTTGCTCCTTAAAACTATAATTAGAAATAATTATTTATCCGTTCGTAGATAACAGAAAAAATTATGTTTGCTATTAAAATTAACGTAGCTTTATGCAGCATAACATCATGAGGTAGAAGACGATTAACTCACATTTCCAGAGAAGTTCTTGCCTAGAGCATCGGTGGCGATGTCAAGGGTGTACTGGGTCGGCCAGAGGGCGCGGGGGAGTCTACGGATCCTGGTGTCCGCAAGAGGACCTAGGGGTAGGCCCAGTAGGAGGGTTGTGCACACCCAGAGGGCAGAGCACCTGGGAGTCATCGCGTCACTACGGGGACCTCGCGGGTACTGTCCTCCTACACCGAGCCAGGGGGGCGGAGCCCAGGAGACGGCCTTGTTACATACTGATGGGAGATGGGAGGGTCATCGGCCCGACCTTCACCTTGTGGCTTGTACCTGGATGTGGGTCAGTGTGTACTGAAGTCCAGAGCGTTATAAACTCAAGATCACTCTGGAGAAGTTGAAGACGCCAGCAAATCATTTCAGTCTAGCATGATACAATTGCAGATCAGAAAAATTGTAAGCACTGTATAACATAAAGGGTGGCCATTGGTATCTGAGAAACTATTAGATTTAGAGAAAACATTAAAGGAGATCTTTAACTATTTTCTTATGACATTAACACGTGCATTACACTTTTGTTATTACCAACATTTTACAATATAGTAAAGTTGAAATTTGTTACGGAACACCTTGTATTTTATCATGGCTGTAGCATAGAACAAATTATTCTATGGCTGTTAAATGTAAATGCAACATTTAAAAGTTGTTATTCTCTACATTCTTTCTCTAAAAATACTCGTTTAGGAGTTACAGTCTATACCGCCTAGGTAAAGGGGGACTGCTTCGTACATTCTGCATCCTTTAGCTCCTAACTAGTAAGTTTGGAGATGAATTGCTAAAAGTAAATAAGTCTTAAAATTAGTTTAATGTCACCAGAAGGTACGTTAGTTGAAGTTCTCCATTTTAAGTTTTATTTTAATCCAATAGTTTCTGAGAGATACTAATGGTGGCACAATTAAGTTTCTCACCTCGTAAGTGTTTTCACCTTGTAGAGTAAGAAGATTGTTCTGTCAAAAGGTTCAGAAATAGTTTAGCATTGTGATAAACATTACACATATTTAATTGTCTATAATATGATTCAACTTGCACCAAAGGCGTACCTCTTGGCACCTTTACAGGTCGGGGATCTATACAAAAGTAAAAAATAAATGCTACAATCAGGATCCGGTGTGGATCTTGAAAATTTTTGTAACTATCGTTTTTAGAACATACCAACTAGAGTTAAAACACTATGGACTAGAGTTTACATTAATCAACTATGAACTGACGCAGAGTTTATATTGTAGTTGGAATGTAGTAAATATATTCTAGCCAAATTGTAAAAGATGCGATAATATTTCAAGATAATGAGAAACATACCTACTACGGCCGTCGACACGGTGTTCCTATATGTGGTTTTTATAGACAGCCAGAGACTAAACGAAACCCCTAAACTACGAGCAAATTAATTATCAACGTAATTAAAATGATAATTCTACATACAGTAGGTATAAAACTTATATTTTATTGTATGAGGGAACACACCCTTTTATCACAATCTGGAACAAAAGGCAAAAATTGCAATACAATTTCTTGCCGTTTTGAGATAGGCTTTACTATCACTCCAAAATATTCTTATCTTCGTCTGAAATTAAATTTTTCGTCAACAGAATTCTGTAAAGTTTCTTTGACAACGCAAACACGAACATACTGTAATAAGAAACAAAGTGTCCAAAACCGCCGCCGCACCGGGACCGATTAGACTTGCATTGATAAGCGCTATCGATGGTTTGTGTTGTGTTTAATGTATTTAATAGCAACAGAGCCCGTTGTGGTTAAATACAACGGTCTCCAGTAAAATAATGGTTATGGAATCTATACACCACTTTATTCACTAATATTAATGGTACAGATTAAGAATATAACATTAAAATCACACACTTAACATAAGGAACACACTTTAAACACAAATGCAAATTGTTAACAACAGCATTTAATCAAAGAAATATCAATTAGACAACAATATAACAATAAGCTGTTGAATTACTAACACACGTTTCGTATGATTAGATTATGCATACTGGTAAACCAATTATTGCCATCTATAAAAATTATTGTTTTTTCTTTTCCGAGTCGGGTTAGCTCTTCTACCCAACCGATTTTCATAATTTTGGCCTTAAACTAAAGGTATGGACTACCACAGATTTGCCATCAAGCATCGGCATTCGTTTTGACATATATTTCGAGCTATGCACAAACTGCCTTCCTGTACATTTCTAACGGGAGTTAAATTTGTTTTTTTTTTCGAATTCGTTTGGATCTTCTACCCACCCGATTTTTATGATTTTGGTCTTAAAATACGAACGTACCTAAAGCACACAGCTAAATCACGAACACCACTAATTGTACAAAAAATTGAGTTATTTATTATCGATTTATAGTCAAACGATCTTGCTTGCAACCTCAACAGTAACTGTAGACTTTGACGTGTTTCACCTAGTAAATAAAAAAAATCAAACTTTCATAATTATTTGCAAATCTACACAAATTAGGCTTTCCAACGACCCATTAAGTAACAAAATCGGTCTGGTAGAAGTCTAGATTTAGTTATACAAAGTTTAACAAAATATATCTAATTCAGTATTTTCTCACCACTATAAATTTGGAGATCACTTAGCTTATTGCCAATAACTTTTAAATGGAGGGAAAATCGACCAAAGTGGATGTGATATTCTGAAAGAGAATAAAATTTACTACAAAGAACACAAAGAACTACTACGCATTTCTTGAAAATACTTAATAAAGGCAGCCAAAAGCTGGGTACAAAAAGAATCTTGAAAACGGAAACTTGAAAAAGCAGTTTTTAATGTATTTTTGCTATTTTTACTTTTTCACCACAAATATTTAATGAAATCACAATTTTATAATTATTTGCAAATCTACATGAGTTAGGCTTTCCATTGGGAACTGTAACCCAGGTGCTGGAACTGTAACCTATTTAATGTGATTTGTACGTCTATTCATCCCAATATTTTAAACTTTCCAAAAGAGAGATACCAAAACTCTGTTCCACCGTGTTCCCCCGCAAATCGAGCACTGCTTATAATAACCTGCTTAAAATAACCTAATGTTTACCGCCTTAAATAACGTATGATTGGCGAACTATAATATTCTATTAGGTACTAATATATACATTTCCTACAGTATAATAAATCCAGGTTGAGTTTTATTAAATAGTTGCCTTATCAGGTAGATTCTGATCTGTCACCTAGTAGAAGTGAAAGACACCAATCATTCCCTTGTGCCTTACAGCTGGTATTGGTGATGTGGAGAGGAAGAAATTGTCACATGTGCCATCATACAACTACTAGCAAACAGGTTGATAAGAATGTTGCCAGATAGCTTAGAATCCCATCCTGTGTATGCATATTTTTGAAAAGTTTTATGAATGAAGATCCCCTAGGCCTGGAGAGTATTCCATGTCTCCCAGACATCCCAAATGTGCACCAGACCAGGTACTGATACTAGGCCTGAAATAAGCTAATTGCCCAGGGCCCTTCAAAGCCTGAATCCACCACTGATAGTAGAATATGGTCTAGGATTTATTTATTTATTATCAACGGTTCCACCATTTTGAAGGATTGTATCTACCTTATCCTGTATCCAGGTGCATAAGTTGATATATTTGTTGATGCTGTATATGTGGTTGTGTTTTTCTCTCAAGGGTTGGTTTGAATGCAGTAAGTTACTCTGCAGAAAATAACTAATTGAACTACATTTTCTTCTAGGCTATAGGCAAATTTATATGTTTTATATGTGTTAATATGTTTTTACCCAAAGAAACAGATGATCATAGTCAGAAGAAAAATCACAAAAGGTATTGCACTCCATTCTATATTCATATTTATTTATTTGGGTAAACTGACCATTTGTGTCTCAATCTTAATTGGTGGAGAATCACATAGATGTAGTCGTTATTTGGAAATAGACTAACTACCTACATATGTAATTAATTGTACTTTTGAAATTGAAATGAGAACTACATAGACACAGTTGTTGTATGGAAATAGTAAAATGCCATGATAACGACTTCAAGTCTGCGAGTGAATAGACAGATCTTGCATCGAAACTTGAGGCGGAAAGAAGTCATGAGCTGTAGAAATCAGCTAAAAGAAAAAGTAAGCATTTTAATATTGGTTTATTTACTGAAAAGTGATTCTTAAGGCTGATTAGAAGAAATCTGACATTGGTCACTACCACAGCTACCCACCATTTGTAGTGAATGTTAATTATTGAGAATTTAAATATCACTTTTAATTTAGTCAATATAAAAAGTTAAGCTTGGTATCCCAACAAAACACAACATTAGAAATTTGAATAATGTGACTAGTTGAAAAGGGACTTATGTAGGAAATAGAAGAATTACGTAAAAGGATTAATAGTTTTGGTCCCCATGAAAACAGTTAATATCCGTTCAAATAAAATAATGACTTATTTATAAGGAAAATTTTAATTATTATAATCTTGGTCATTTTTTGTGTTATTGGTGGATAATTTTATAAACCTTAGGATACTGAAGTAGAAAGTACAGCCAAAAAAAAGCTGGAACTTAAAATAAGTTGACCTTCCAGTTTGGCTTGATGTTTAAAAAGTCGGCATATTCAACGGAAATCAGTAACTGACAACAGTACACAATCAAAAGCTTACCTCAACAAATTTAATTTTTATTCTAGAACTGTTCAGAACCTTAACATTGTAATGCATTACATTAAACATAAAAAAGCATTAAAACTCCCAAATATGAATGTTTTATTAATACAACACTGTACAGTTAAAATGTTGTATATATTATTCGTAAACCAATTGGGACTGGAAGTTCAGGAGGGGGAAGCAGGGGAGTCGCTTGTGTCGCGAGGGGAAGGTTTCTTGGGGCGTCGTCTGCGCTTGTGTCGCCCCAAGGAGTGCTCTAGACCGCCTGGGCCTCTTGTAAGTACATTGAAGTCAATGATGGAGAGACTAGGAGGGGCTTGTGGTCGAGGATCAGGTCGAGGCTCGACCGTCCATTGGCGACTCTGAACAAGAGACTCGGTGGTCCTCTTACCACGCCGACCTCGGCCTCGCTTGTGGTGAAACTTTCGTGAATCAGCAGACAATGGCTACAAAGAAAACATAGGGTGAAAATGTGTCTAAAGCTCTACAGTACCTTTAATTGAATGTGTTTATGGTGTGAACGACATTGCCGCCGTGGCAAAAGCTGCCTAGTATGTTACTAGCGTTAGTGTTGTATTACCTAAGTTACATCTAAGCTGATATAAAGCTTAGTAGAAGCATCACTGGAGATACTGGTGGCCCTGGTAGGGTGTCTGTGAGATGTTAGTGTTTTATTACCTGAGTTACATCTAAGCTGATGTTAAGCTTGGTACTGTAGAGGCATTACATGAGCTACTGGTTGCTCTGGGAGGGTGTCTATGAGATATAACGTTAATGTTAGTGTTATATTACCTGAGTTACGTCTAAGCTGATGTTAAGCTTGGTAGAGGCATCACTGGAGCTACTGGTGGCCCTGGTAGGGTGTCTGTGGGGATGAAGAGGATAGCTGCGGTTGCTTAGGGCTCCAGAGTAAGCTGATTTCCGAGACTGTCGTGACTTTGCCGTGCTTGGCTTCTTGTCACCCTCGACTGCGCTCACAACCCCGATGATCCTGTAGTAGTCTAGGCAGGTCCTTACAATGTTCCGACCTAGGCGGCAATCTAGAATGTTAAGGGTTTTGCTTGCTTGTATATATTTTTTTAAATATTTTATATTGATTAATTATCAGCATGTGGGAGCAAGCTGTTCTAGTGGTAGAGCAAAGGCCTTTGGTCCCTGAGGTCCCGGGTTCAAATCTAGCCAAATCAGCAATATGGATTTTATCTATGTGATTATGGCCCAACCCCTAGGTCCAGCCTGAAGTAATGTGAAAAACAATCGTGGGCTCCTAAGAACAAAGTATCAGCATGTGATGATATAATAATATGTCTTGTAGAACACAGCTTCCATTGTTCTGTTTGATGAATTATCTTCTTTTATGTGTAAGAAATGTAATCCTGTTATAATCTGGACAGCACTTAAAGGAAATAATCCTGCAGATCATCAAATTCCTAAAGAACAACACACTATATTTATCATGCTGTAATACTAAAAATGTAGTCAACTATATCACACCTCTATTCCTAAGAAATTAGCCTCTACAATTTCAATGTAAAATCTCCCTCACAATTATCCATGAAGCATAAGGGTTGTTCCTCCAATACCTGATAGCACAACAAGAGTTGTGCTATCAGACTATCACACTTACCTCATACAATCTAGTTACTTATATCTGTTTCCGTTCATCCATTGATTGCTTTTGCTCAGCTTTAGCTTATATATTTTTTGTGTTAATGAATGCTATCAAAGGATACAAGACTCTTCTGTGTAGTAGTGGATGCCTGGGACACTGGGATGTCTGTAGCCATAACAGGACACGATGATAGAGTAGCAGTTGACAGAATCCTTCAGTACCTCACAGAAAACCCTGGAAAATCACTGTACATCATGAGTCTTTTAAATATGTTACTTCAAATAAACACAAGTTCCATATTACTTTTTGGATCAATGCTAAAGTGCACTACAAGCACCGGGAATGTTTCGCTGAAACGGTGCGGAAGCTGCCCGTTATTTTCGGCCGGGATTATGCACCAAATGAGTCATCTGTCCGAAGATTTATTTATAAGTTCAAAGAAATTGGCTCAGTTTTGGACATTAAAAGACCAGTTCGAAGTCGGGCAGGTCACTTCATTGAAAATATTGAGGCTGTACATGATAGTGTAGAAGACAACTCAAGAACATCGATTCGTCGGCGTAGTAAGCAGTTAGACCCAGCTCGGAGCACAGTACAAGGCATTTTCGTAAAAGACCTTCACATGTTCCCCTACATAATTCAACTCACACAAGAGATCAAGCCAAAAGATCCTGTAAAACGGATTGATTTTGTAAACTGGGTGGTTGGAAATTAAGATGAAAATTACATGTTTTCAAAAACTTTGCTGTTTAGCGATGAAGCACACATTCATCTAAGAAAAATCGTGCGATTTAACACCGTGCGACTACTTTCTTTGGGTACATTTAAATTCGCCTGTTTTCGCCAATAATCCTCAAACAATCCAAGACCTGATGGATGAAATTAATCGCGCCATTAATGGAATTCAACAGAAAGTGTGTGAAAAAGTGATGGAAAACTTTGTGAAGAGATGTCGGGCTTGTCAGCAGGCAGCAAGTGAGCACTTACAAGACATAATATTCCATTACTAATCGGAGATACTATGCTTTAAGATTCATGTTTCATATTGTTAATTTAGCGTGAAAATATATGGTTTATTAACGTTTAAAATCCGGCGTTCTTATTGGGACACCCTTACATGGTAATGATTAATAGGGTCGATGGACCATCTGCTCTATATGAGAATGAGAAGAAAAGGAAAAGATGCTCACTGGAAGAATGAAAAAGAATATATGCTCTTGGTGTTCTATTTTTTTCCACTTCAATCTCATTTGATCTTTTGGTCATTACAGCCATTGTTGACTCTTAACTTCAATAGATGGCAGTGGTGAAGTGGAGCGAGAACGCTTGGGATGTAATTACATCCATATGTGACCCTATTTTTAAGACACACCTTTATTTTCTGCTAAACTATTGTTTGTAACTTTAACCATTTCATTTTCCTTTCCTTCTTCAACATTCCTTCAATCAAGAATGTTCTTAGGATTTTTATAGATTGTCTTAATTTTCTATCAAATTACTGTACAGTAGACTCCCACTTATCCGGACTCCTCGGGACCGAGGCCAGTCCGGATAATTCTGGTTAAACCGACCTCCCTAAAAACTCGATAAAACATACTGTTTACTGTGATATTCTACTTGAATTTATGAGAGCATTGAATCTAGACACGTGATCACTGGTCTCAAATCTTTCCCATGAGAACAGTCTTTTTAGTACTGCCCACTTCCTACCGATCTAGTCCAGTTAAACCAATGTGCTGATAAAAATTGTCCGGTTAAAGAAATGTCATTTCCGCCTAGTGTAGTCCGGTTAAACTGATGTCCGGTTAAAAGGTGTCCAGATAAGAGGGAGTCTACTTGTTACTGGGTCAATAACATGTAGTAGGTACACTTTAATTAATTCTTATGATGAAGAATTTCTTATATTATAATATTAATAAAATCGAATTGTTTACCAATCCAAACAAGGGACCAATCTATATAAACAACGCATTTAATTCTGCGAGATGGTGCGTGCGATATACTGGACGCTCTGTAGAACACCTTTCACATCCTGGCATACCTCATGCGCATTATAGAGGATTATCTTATCTCCGGTTACGCCTCCTCATGTATGACACTACAGAAGGCCAACGGACGATGAGAGTCACTTCTGGTGCTGCCCAAGGTTCCATACTCCGCCCGGATTTCTGGAATGTTGCCTATGACAGCCTCCTGAGGTCTGAAATGCCTGAGGAGTTTTAATAGCTGCCCGTAGTGTTGAGCTGGCCCAGCTAAAATTAAACCGAGTCATGCGAACTATAAACGCATGGAAGTGCAGATCACGGTGTCTCACTCACTCTGAGTAAAACCGAGATCGTGATTCGGAACAGAAAGCGGATTGACACCATTGTGCCATTGAGGGTGGGCCGTTCATGCCGCTAACTATCTTGGTGTCATGGTGGACACTAAGGTTAGCTAAGGGGACCAGATATTGCGAACGGGGTACAAGGCTGCTACGGTGATTTCTTCTCTTAGCCGGTTAATAGCTGATGTCGGAGGTCCTCGGTCCAGTCCCAAAAGGTTGTTGACCTGCAGTCCAGACTGTACTCCTGTATGTTGCAAAAGTGTGGGCAGACGAGCTCAATAAGGAGGCGTATAGGATGCGGCTCGCCCGAGTGCAGTGTCAGGCAGCACTCAAGGTAGCATCCGCCTACCAAACAGTGTCCGAAACCGCTGTCTTGGAGGTTGGAGTAATCCCCGTCAAGTTTTTGGCGGCGGAGAGCAAAGCGAAATATAAGGTGGGGAGGACCATGCAAAAACAGAGGAGCGCACCCACACCTACCGTCTCTGGCAGGAGAGCTAGGAACAGGAGACTGATTCAGCAAGTCCAACCATGGGTTGTCCGGTGGTGTGGTGAGGTGGATTATTACCTCACCCTGTTTCTGACGGGTTACGGTTTTTTTTTCGGTCGTACCTGTTCAGGATTGGCAAAGCCATGTCACCCGATTGCATCTACTGCATGGGTACTCCCGACGACACGGAGCACACTTTCGTCCGCTGCCAGCATTGGGAAGAGCCCCACCTGGAGGCTCAACAACATGTAGGACAGTTGTCGGTGGACACGGTCATCCCGATGATTGAGGGAGGGTGAGGTCAATGCCTGTGTGTCACATTCCGTCCAGGGTATTCTCCGCCCTAAGAAGCTTGACCTTGACCGGGATGCACTCTAGGTCATAAAGGAATTGAATGCCAGAAACAGTGCGAGCCCTGAAGGCTTAGGTCACACGTTGACCTGACCTGAAGTAATGTGACAAACAAACAATCCCAGGTCTGTGTCCCAACAGAGTAGGGGGGGTTTTTTAGTGAGTAGTCTGATAAGCTTAAGAGTTTCACACTACAGGCTGGCCCCCTGTTTGCGTAAAAGCATTTTTAATTCCTCTCCCATAAAAAAAATCTAAACAAGGGATCAAAAACACAGTTTAGGAGTAGAGCAGATAACAAATTCTTCCCATTCCAAAATCCTACTATGCTGTCACAGTACATAAATAAAATGTAATAAGAGCATTTATTAAACTTTAATTGAGAGCATTAGTGTTTATAATAATTTGTTCTGCAACAACAACTAGTGTCAGAGTCTTTAACTAGATAGAAAAAATAATTCAAAACAGAAAAATGATCAACCAAATTATTAAGAACAAACTAATTACTCTAAAAACAAGTTTTGCAGCCTTTTCACATCTAATAATTGACCAAATGAAAATGTTTGATAAGGTTAGGGACAAAATACAGGGTGGAGCAGGATACATCCCTACCGGTACTTTTAAGATGACGCTGTGAGTAGTGGGGATGTGCTGGAGAAATGGGGTTAGCTCGAATGATTGCTGTTGCTTTGGAATTTCCTACTAATATTACCATCAGCAGTAGACATGGCTTAGTCGAGTGAGCAATGCCCTTTTGCAGTCAAGATGAATTTTCACCAAAATCAGTCTATTATTGCTGTGCAGCGTGCACTGTGAACAAGCATCCGCACTGTCGTTGTCTAATCATATTTTGCGTTGTATTCTCCATAAGGATCTACATCTCTATCCATTTAAGATGGTAGTTGCTCATGAACTCACACAAGAGGACTAGAAACAGAGAATGCAGGCATGTGAAACCTTAACCTGCCTCATTATGCTCAGGTTTTTGTTTAGTGAGGAGGCACACTTCCATATTTCTGGAGCTGTAAATAAGCATAATATGCATTATTGGAGTGATTCTAATCCTAGAGTCGTTCACGAGAGAACCTTAGATGCCTTGAAGAATGCAATTAACCTTGAAGTTTGCTACATTCCACAACAAATGCCTCACAGAACTATGATGATCTCCAGAACCAGACTACAGCAGTGAATTTACAATAAGGGAACCCACTTGCAATATGTGCTGTTTAAAACCAAGTTAAATTATATCAAAATTAACTTCCAATTGTAACCTTTTGATCACAATATAAAGTTTAGTTTAGTTCTAATATTTTCGGTTGTCTTTTGATTTACCTTCAAAATTAGGGATTCTTCCCTTTACCACCATATGTACAAAAACCCTACGGTACTCGATCAGACTCACATCTCAAACGAGGCATCCCCATTACAAATAAGTACCCACCATTTCAAAACTTTGATGTTAATATTGTCATCATAATGTAATTATATTGATAGTAGCAAATGCCGTTCTTCCAGTATTATACCCAAGAGTATGGATTGAAATATATTATTTACATCAATAGAATAGTTATAATTGTGGTATTCTAAACACTCTGATTGAGCTTGACAATTTCCCCCATATGAATGTAATTCCCGGTTCTGAAAACTTTTCCTGAAGTTCAGGAGTTCCGGACCTTTCAGGTTTTAAAAGTTTATTATTGTGAATATTCAGCTGATTCTGTATGAAAACACATTTTTATAGTGTAATTCATAGTGTGTGCATTGAAAACATGCACCTACCTTCTAGACGAGTTGGCCTTGTTCAAGTCCCTGTTGAACATTGTGTTGCTTTGCTCAAACCCCTCTGTGTTCTGTGCAAGTAGTTTGGGAAAGACAATATGCCTCTCGTATCTATATTACACAACAATACTGTATAGTAAAACCTTTGACTATTTATACAACTAGACATTCAGTCCCCATGTTAAAATTGTCAACAGGTTTTTTTTTCATCGCAGTTAATGTGAGCCACCCATAGATTGCGCTGATCTAAATTACTGAATTCTTTTGAGTACAAGAACCTTTTTACTAAGTTGAACGACTTATTGTGAGCTTTAGCAACTGTCATGACCCATAAACTATGTCAGTTACAACATTTAAGGTACAAAATAGAATTGTAGACACTAGTACATTCTATGACTGGCTCACACAACTGTGTTTTCTTCCAATGAAAAGATTGGCAACAGCTGGTATACATATATATGGGATGTCTACTTCAGTATCCAATAGTCAATGGTAAAACTCTTGATGTTATTTTAATATTTTCAATTTTCATTCTCATTAAAAGTACATGCTAGACATATAATCTCAAAAAAATGATTTCTTTGTCAAACATTATAAAAGAGCTTTAACATTTTGTGGTTGCCTATTTTGGGTAGATATACCATGTCACTAAATTTCACACATTCTATAGTTTGATTAAGGAGATGAATCATAGTATTTTGGTATGTAATGCATATATAATGTTTAATTTTATAAATGTGTACAGGTTTAAAAAATAAACAATGTATTAATGTATTATTTAGAATTTTTAAACATCCAGAGATTATATTGATTGCTGATTTAAATAATTTTTTATCCATTTAGAAATCTAGTCTTGGATCTATTGGTTGAAGTTTAAATTCAGATCCCTAGATTACACAAAATGCACTAATGTATTGACATTAGTGCATTTTGTGAAATCTAGGGATTGTATTGTTTTAGTAATTGTACTAATTGAATTTATTATAACAATAACGTTATCAAACCCTAGGAGGATAAGTGATAACAACTATAGCTTAATCGAAGGTAAATTTCTTCCTTCAAAAGGGAAATTAGTAGTTATGGCAACACTGCTGAGATCTGGGGGACCAACAATACTGTATAACTAAAACCACCAACATGTGCTGCGTTCTAGAGGGTATCAGAGGAACTCCTTACACGAATTGTAATTAATTAATCCTATAAAGTTCCTGGTTTAACCTTTCATCAGGATGGTGTTAGGACTTTAATACAGCAATTTTGTTACATGATTATATTAAAAATAAATGTGAATGTTGAATTAAGGCTCATTTTAGTAGTACTGTACATATACTTTAGTTACCGATTATTTAATTAACAAGAAACTAAGATAAGTTCTAGGGTTTGTTCTCTCTAACCATTGTTTTGATTTGTTAATTTGATGGTTAGTCAGTCTACTGTATAATAACATCGTAGATTGTAGATAACAGTGTTAAAGGATGTCAACAAATAAAGGAAGCCCTTTATGAATCTCACTTATACACGTGAACAATATTTTGAAATATGTATTAGTTAACTCAAAGAATGAAGCAAATGAAGCGGAATGGCAAAAAACAATAGTGCTCCATTCATAGTCATCAAATGTTCAAATGTTTCTTTTCAACCCCACCTAATTGCTTGAGCTTGTATACCGACTAACTTTTGTAACTATAAAGTCAAGTCAATGGTTTAACTTGAGTTAATATTTAAAAAGTCAGTTGCAGGCCCTGGTGATGGAATATATACCATTTCATAAGTATTTTCATAAAAGACTTTCAGAACATATTTTTACCTGTAGACGTCATCATACGTGTTTCCATAGACGAACACGCCTTGTAGACTAGAGTGAGAATGAATATCCATGACAAAGTCCAGTTCCAAATTCTAAAATCAGTTTCGTTTACAAATTTAGCCATGTTATTTTAGTATGTTAATAATATTCATACTCTTCATTCCTCTGTGTTCTATTTATCAACATTATTCTAGTATGGTATTGTTTTAATTTGTGATTCTATATGTTTATTTGTTCATTAGTTATTCCCAAAAAGCTAGCAAAATACAATAGAACGAATATTGGGGTTAGATTAAGCAGCAGCAGATTTTCAAATCTACTACTGAATTATTACTAGAATTGCCCTGTTTGCCTGAGTCTACTTGTAAAGCACATAAATGTGAGATATCGATACCAAAGTGCCAATGTGTAATGTTGATATTTCAATTGCAACATGAACTTAGATAAAAATAAAACCAACGATTTTACAAAATATCCTTTGAGTTATTTTGAGTTTGTATTCACACCTTACCTAAAAAAATTATGTTAATCCAAAAACGCTTTACATAGTTTTACCTACATTTTATAGTGTTGGACAGTCAGTCCCGTCTCATTCGGACTCCTCTTTAATGCCGGGACTGACTGTCCAGCCTCGGTAAAAAGGTAAGCAAATGTTTATATTTGACTACCTTATCCTGGTCTAGGTTTGTTATAAAGGTGAAGGCGGCGTGTAGCGTGGGGTGGATCCACCGGGAGATCTGCCCCCAGACACGGTTAAGGTCTGCCCCCATGAGAGTGGACCTGGAATAACAAGGGAGGTTTTTTATGAGAGGTCTACCACTATTAAAGTGTTTTCAACTAAAATATTTTGGTTTACTTAATTTGATTTGAGGCATTGTTGCGGACATTTCCTATTAAGATTAGAAGGAGGATGGTTTTTGCGACGTTTAAGGATCTAGGATTTAATCCCGTCCTCAGCGCCTCAGCTGAGAAAATACCTAAAACTTGACAAGATTCGCACACAAACCCATCTAAGGCTGGAAAATCACACAAAAGAAAAGAGGCAAAATATATAACTTTTATACCCAATACAAGTAGCTAAAACAAGAAACAACAAATCCTGAAAGGATGTCGACAAGAATGGGAAGTGTCTGCAATAGTGCATAAAATAACATAAATTAATAACCACCAACAATGAAACAAATAAATATATATTTGGAATACTATTCATGATAAAAGTTATATTTACGGTAACTATGTGAAAATTGTGGTGTTCCAACGAGGTTAAATACTATTTATAAGTCGAAGAGCCCTGCAGCAAACTTGCTGTCCTCAGTAGGGGTTTTGTCAAGAAGCTTGTTGTAGGTGTTCAATGTAAATAATTATAGAAATAAGTTAGTTTTTTATGTCCCACCTTCACACCTTAACTCATTACTTCATGCAGTCCTAGAGGGTTGCGGTATTATCAATTAGGTCAAATCAATTTGCGATTGTCGGAATTTGAACCCGGGACTTCAGGTACCAAAGCCCTGTGCTCTACCACTAAACCAACTCGCTCCCCGTCTACTAATAAGTATAATAACTGTATCCAGAAATCTTCTTTATACTGACCTATAGTTTCCCAGAAACACACCATCTGGATTCATCATAGGAAATATTTTGAAGACGACGTGGTCCCTCAGCGCTAGAGCCATGGGGTGGTTACTGATTAGGAAGTCGATTATGCCTGGAAAAAATTTTGAGAGTGTATACTTTGCTTCAAACCTTTAAGATTATCAAGCAGTAGATTTCTGAGTTGTGATCTTTTTTATGCTTCGATATAGTATAAAACTCTTTCCCGTCATACTGCTGCGAAAACCGCTGTTTTCATGCCTAGGGCAAAAAAGAATCAGCTGGAATCGTGAACATTAAAACTTTGTCATTTTAGCAGTACTTTACTTTTTTCTCAGTAAAACTGTTTCATTGTATATTTTACCAAGGTAAATCACAGAAAACATAGTTTTATTGAAATTAAGACTAATTAAAAAGTATTTGGATTTTATCATTTTGTTGGTAGAATAATACTTAACGCATTAAAATAACGGTTAACAGCTGTTTGTGTTTAATAGGAAAATAGATTGAAAACATTTTGGAAAGATAATTTAAAACGACTATATTTTAGCATTTTAATATATTAATTGTCGGAGAAGTAATACCTAACGCATTGAAATCACGGTTAAGGACTGTTCATACTTAACAGCAAACCTGGATGAAAACCATAAATACAGCTAATTTAAAAATGTAAACAACATAGGAATTTGTGTGAGAGGTAATTAGGTACAATAAAGAATAGTGCAGTACTACAACGAATATAGTTAGTTCATCCCATGGGCAAAAAAATCTTTTCGTACTTCTAGTATCTAGGTAATTGACTCGTAAAACCTAATTAGACGCCTGCAGATATGAAAATAAACCACCTAACCCTCAAAGAATTCCTACAAAAGGTTTTTTTTCGTTTTTAGGTAGGGTTAGGTGTGCTGATTAACATACCAAAAGTTTACCAAAGTTTGACAACTGGAAAGGCCTCAATTTCAAGATGGCGTCCAAGATGGTGTCAAATATCAAACTTCTATAAATTTCATCCCAAAGATGTAGTTAGAGGCTACTTTTTCGTTTACAGGGTCCCTAAACTTAAATGAAACATATACATTATACATAGGCCTACATTTCAATTTAAAAACTAAAGGTCACAATATTTTATCATGTTTGAGTAGGTAGTTATAGTATTATTTTTATCTCAAAAAGCCTAATAAAAACTAGGCTCTCATTTATTTTTCATTTGTCTTAGTCTAAATTGTTCTAAAAACGTTCACCTAATTTTAGACAAAAGCATTAAGGAAACATCCCTAATGATACATTTTTATTAAAAAAAACCCCTCACAAAATAAAACGTATATCATTTAAATTAATGTAAAACGAAAATGGCTATGTTCAAAAGATTTTCATCGTAAACAGCGAGGTTGACATTTTTATAGGTTTTTTTTCTTCAGTAGGCCTACTTGTTTAGGGCACCAGACCTTAAATATTACATGTAAAATACATTAAAAGAGGATAAATGTAATAATAAATAGGCTTACTTCCTAGCAGAAGTCTACGGAAATAAAGAAATTTCATACTTTTACTGAATTCAGCAAGAAAATAGTACAGTTTTTTTTAAGTTAAGCATTTTGTAAATAAATTTCACATTTACAGTTGCCTAACTTGTTTATTGTTTACGAGTTCTGATATCGTAAATAAAACTAAATGTCCTATATGCTTAGCAGTTTTATATTGTTCTACAGACACTGTACAAGTTTGTCAAAAGGGAGTTGAAGGAATAAACAAAGCAGGTTTGGAAAGAGTCGAAGAATTAATTGTGTGTGTACCCAGGAGATAAAGTTCACGCGAAATGCAGACATCGGTATATTAATAAGGACAAACAAATTTAAGCTGGGAATAAATTAGAAACGCAGAAGCGCTAGGGTATCTCGGTTCCTTCAACAGCGAAACAGACTGTCTCTTCAGCGGTACTGCTGTCAGAGAAAAAAAGTTCTAGTGCTAGCTGTGTAAAGACAGAAGAATTTGTAAAAACAATAATTGCCTGCTGTAATAGTCGATTGGACGAATGGGCGGGTATTGTAAGAGGAAGAATAGAATATTACAGAGATGATCTGATTGCCGCTAACTGTGTTTACCACCACTCCTGTAGCAGTAACTTTCGTTCCGGATTTAGCGTACCAGTTCAGTTTCAAAATGGACAAACTGCAAAAAAAGTAATCCCAGACGACCCAGAAATGAAGATCCAGAACAAGCATTCCTGAAAATATGTAGATATTTAGAAACCAATGATGATGAACAGCTAACAATATCTCACGTACAAAAAAAAATATTCACAACCATTTGGAAGAAGTTATTTGAAAGAAAAGCTAAAACAGAAGTATAGAAATAACCTTTATTTTTTTGAAGGATAAGGTCTTCTACATATTGTCACAATGAGGGAAATAAAATATTCTTACATCATATTTCAGCACATTTGAAAAGGACGAGGAATCCCAGGAAAAGGCTATCATCGAAACACCAGCCCGTCTTAGGATTGATATAAAGGCCTCCACTCTGTCCGTTACAGACCAGTACCCAAATGAGAAATTCCTGAATCTGGATTCCGCCCTTTCTTTCACACCTGAATGCTTGCAGACTTTGTTAAAATGGTGTTTTAGTAGGCAAAAATACAGGAATTGGTCAAGCCATCATCTAAGCAGCCCGACCACGCACTGTTGTTGCTCCTTTACAAATCGGCCTAGCAGTTCAGGTACACCATCTATATCGATCTCAATTTCTTGTCGATACTTTACATGCCATGGGATTTAGTTCTTCATACAAAGTCAGCATTCCAGAGGCTTATTAGCAGAAATGCAACGATTGAAGATTGCGCAAAATTGTTTCTAACTCCGAACCAAGCTAGGACTGACATAGAGATGCTCGGAAGCAAGGTAATGGCAGTTTTATGTGGGCGCAGAAGTGCCGATTCCCTAACCTCATTGCGCTGTAAACTCTTTAAGTAAAAATATTGTTTCTGCTACCTACATCATTTGTTACTCCAGAACAACTTCCTCCAACCGAGTCATCAACAAAATACCATTGCCTAAGAGTGTATTTTTAAATCATGAATTGGACTGGAATGGATAAAAATATGAATGCTATTAATTGGGGATGGAAACTAGAGAGCAATAAGTATGTACGAATAATGACTAATAAACCTGTTGCACCAGAAAGTCTTCTACATATTCTATACTGCATGTCGAACATTCGATGCAGTTGCAAAAGATATGGACTACCATGCACGTCTGCATGTGGACTGTGCCAAACCGAAAACTGTGAAAATAAATTCAATGAGTCTGGGTTGAAGAAGTTGACAATGAATACTTGTAAATGTGTTGTTTTGTAAAAAATAAACTTTTGTTGTAATTTTAAATGTGTTGTTTGCATTCAGTGGCCCTGAAAACATATAGGTAGACACCAGTATTACTTTTCTAGGGCAAAAATTGCAGGCGTTCGGTAATTTACACCATATTGGACGCCATCTTGAAATTAAGGCGTTTCCGGTGGTCAAACTTTGGTAAACTTTTAGTATGTTGATCAGTACACATAATACTACAGAAAACCGCAGAAATACCTCTTGTAGGAATTTTTTGAGGGTAAAACTATAATGTCTGCCGTCTAAATGTTATTTAAATAGATTTAATTTAAAATCAATTCAGGCAAATGGAAATTCGCGTAGTCTGCAGGTTTGCTGCGGTGGGAGTATTTTGCTTTTAGCATAGTGTGTGTTTGCTGCACAATGACCTTGAACTTCTAATTGTTGCGTCGTTATCTAATTATGTAGGTTAGCTATAGTGCAATAATTTTATTTTATATTAAATAAACGGTATCAGCATTCTGACACATACTTTCTCCCATAAGATTGTCAACAACCTTTCTCATGAGTAAGCGGTGAGAGTAAATATACGGAAATGGGATTTGTACAATTTTCTTCAGAATTTAAAGGACTATAACATACTAAATTTTTATCAAAATCGTTCTAGCCAATTTTGGGAAAATCCGATTTTCCGTTATTTTATGGGGATTTTTATGGGAAAATAACATAATTTACCATAACTTTTGAACCGTAATTTTTACAGAAATGGGATTTGTATCATTTTGTTTAGAATATAAAGGACTATAACATACTAAATTTTTATCAAAATCGTTCGGGCCATTTTTGAGAAAATCCTATTTTTCCAGTTTTTTATGGGGTTTTATGGGAAAATCCCCATTAAAAATAAAATTATCTAAAAAATTACAAAAACTATCAAAATTGTAAGGATCATAACATACTCTGTTAAATCAAAACCGAATTTTTGTCTAAAATCATATTTTTTGTTATTTTATGGGGGTTTTATGGGAAAATAACATAATTTACCATAACTTTTGAACCGTAATTTTTACAGAAATGGGATTTGTACCATTTTGTTCAGAATTTAAAGGGCTACAACATACTAAATTTTTTATCAGAATCGTTCGGGCCATTTTTGAGAAAATCCGATTTTTCCAGTTTTTTATGGGTTTTTATGGGAAAATCCCCATAAAAAATCAAAATTTCAAAAAAATGAAAAAAAAACGCCTGGAGATACCACGGATTAGAACCTACATACCAAATTTCATTGAAATCGGACCACAGGTGTAGTCCCTAGCTCTGTACACATCCAGACACACACACACACAGACATCACTTCAAAAACCACTTTTTTGGGTCCTGGGGGACCCAAAACGAATATATCCACTCAAAACTCAAACTCGAAAATTTTGACGAAAACAATACTTTCTCCATATACTATGGTATAGGGGGAGAAAGTAAAAATTAAAATGAATATAACAGAAATATAACAACTTAAATTTTATTAAGGACTTTAGTCCGTACTTGTTTATTTTTTCGTCGTGATGAAAAGTAACGTTCATAGCTTGTACGTAAAGTGGTTTTTCGGCACATGATCGGTTTTGCCTCACACATCATACTGAGCGCGCACTGGAAAACGCCACTTAGGGTAGATGTAATGGAATATACCATATAGTAATGTAATAGGAGGGATTTCCTGCTTTCTTTACGTTACTGCACTTACTCACCCTGGCAAACGTAGGAGGTAGGAGTCTCCCCGGGGTGTATTCTGCTAAGAATCACAACCACTCTTACTTTGCGACCAGAAGTCACATTTTTTGTCATGTTTTTTGGATGGGTTATCGTAAGAAGGTCTAGTCTTCTATTTTGCTGGAAACATTAAAAGAAAAGGTTATCAGGTATTTATATTAATCTGTAAGTTATACATTAAGTTTCGAGTATATTATTCTTAAGTGAATATAATATGCTTACAAAACTATTTCTTGTGAAAATGGATCTTTGAAAACGCAAGTACAGTATATCATATTTATCATAGTATATTTATTTACGGTATATCATTGCAGTTACGTGGGTAAAAGGTTAGTTAACTTATAACGCGTCTGCTAAAACAGATTAACTTGTAACAAGGTTTTTATGACTATCATAACACCTTCACTAAAACCTGATCTTATCACTACCTCACTGAATCGATTAGAACTTCGTTCCACTCAATTTGGGACTAAGTATTTAGGGTGATTTTAGATCAATTACTGGAATAGGCTAGCAGACCAGAAAGAATGGGCTTGAGTAAAGTGCACATTTGTTACATTAGATGGTTGGCAAGCACGATATTGCGTTCACAAACGAAATTACAACGCATCGTATAAATACGTCATTTCGATTAGCACGAATACTCATCAAAGCACAATGTACTTGTGAAAAGTTATGAAACAGTAAATATATATTTTTACAGTTGTCCTACCACAGAGTTGGATAGAAGTTCTCGTCTGAGGTGAGGTATCTTCTTGCGCTCGAGAATCTCTAGGTGAGCTTGACATTTCGAGTAGGAGTATGGGTAGCTGAAGGCAAAGTGGTAGACGTCATCCTCACGATCAAACCCGAAAGTCAATGTGAGAATGGTATGGTTCCAGTGGTAGGGAGAGCGGTGGTAGTACACATGCTTGTTGGGCATTCTGGTCCTGAAAGCACCAGTAGTTTTAGTGGTATGGGAAGTTATGCTACTTGTAAGGCATTCTGCTAATGTTGTGAGAGTTATAATATTACTAGCAACAGAGCCCGTTGTGGTTAGATACAACGGGTTCTAGTAAAATAATTGTTATAAAATCCATACACCACTTTACTCATTATTATTAATGGTAGCGATTAGGCATATAACTTTAGAATCACAAACATAACATAAGGAACACACTTTAACCACAAATTCAAATTGTAAACAACAACATGTTAACAAAGAAAAACAATTAAATAACAATATAACAATCAGCTGTTAATAACACATGTTTCACATGATTAGATTATGCATACTGGCAAACCAACTAATGCCATAAATCTTTAAAAAATCTAACTTTCATGTTCATCTACATAAATGAAGCTTTCGATTGACCCATCAATCAATAAAATCAGTCCATTAGAACTGTAGATTTAATTGTACAAGTTTTAAAAACAATATCTCTAATTCAGTATTTTCTCACCACTATAAATTTGGAGAGCTTTTTTGCAAATAGCTTTTAAATGGTAAGGAAATCGACTAAAGTGGAATGTAACATTCTGAAAGAAAGATTTCCTACAACTTACTAACATGAATTTCTTGAAAATACTCAAAAAAAGACAGCCTAAAGTTGGCTACAAATTGAAACTTGGAAATAGAAACTTGAAAAAACCGTTTTAATGTATTCTTGTTTTTTCTTTATTTTTACGACAAATATTTTATAAAATCAAACTTTATAATGATTAACAATTTACACGAATTAGGCTTTCCAACGACCCAATAATTAACAATAATGGTCCAGTAGAAGTCTAGATTTAGGGCCATGTCATACGAGCGCTATTGCCGTCGCGCTGATGCCGTCGCGTTAAAGTCGCTCCAACCCGGTAATGGGGTTCTTATGGAGCATGTCATACGGACGCTAATGCCGTCGTCGAGTCCGCGTTAGCCGGACGCTGAGCGCTGCCAACGCGGACGGTCGCGTTAGCGACGCGGCGCACGTAACGCGGGACCCTGTCATACGAGCGCTAGCGCCAGCGGGACGCATTTGCCGCGTGAGCACTGTCAGAACAACTACTGGAACACCTTTGGAGTGATCATTACGGTATTTGATACGATGTTTAATACGGAAAAATCTATTTATTTAGTTGAAAAACTGCCACCTTTGTACGATGTAAAGTCGAGTGATTACAGCAACAGGCAACTTAAGGCACAGTGCTGGAACGAGGATTGGGAGGCCATGCACGAAAACTGAATCAGATGTGGAAATCAGTTGTACTTGTTTTATATTTAATAAAAATAATGCTGTCCCTTTGATTAAAATGATACTCTTCATATGTATCTAAAATGTGCAAAAAGCTGATACAACCAAACTGGATGGTGTCCATCTTTGCCGTGACGGCAAATGCGCCCGGAAGACGCTACGTATGACAGGCACCTGGCGTTGGTGGGACGGCATCAACGCGACGCATTTGCCGTCACGTATGACATGTACTTTTTCCGGCGCTATCTCGACGGCATCTGCGCGACGGCAACAGCGCTCGTATGACATGGCCCTTAGTTGTACAAAGTATAACAAAAATACATCTAACTGACTATTTTCTCACTACTATAAATTCTGAGGTTGCTTAGCTTTTTTGCAAATAGCTTGGTAAGGAAATCTACCAAAAATGAGGGCGATGTTCTGAAAGAGAATAAAATTCCCTACAAATTTATACTATGCATTTCTTGAAAGTACTCAAACAAAGCAGCCAAAAGTTGCATCCAAATAAAAAAAAAATACTAAAAGTAATAGTGAGCATTAGAACGGCTTGCTGCCAGTGATAGCCTATGGGGATTGGGGAGTCCAAGTACAGTACTCGTCAGGCACTATGGCCCTGAAATCATCAAAGAGGTTTAGAATGGTATGCTTCCAGTGGTATGGGAAATGCTGGTACTTGTTTGCATTCTTGTACATAAAGCACAAAATGAGGGTTAGAATGGTATTCCAGTGGTATGGGGAGTACTTCTTAGTCATACTAATTCTGGCAGAATTAGGGATGCTCAAGTTCCTGTGAAATTTACAATGTTAGTAAAGTAGATGGGACAGGGCAGCTTAATGCTAAACATAATACTGCTTTAAGAAAACGTAAACCAGTATGGCACATTAGGTCTTATAATAGACTTACTTTAGGATATGTATGGATTACCATAAACGAGTACGTATAAATAACTCTATATAGTTTGGAATACATCAATCCCCTTCCCATAGAGTAGAAAATTACCGAGAAATTAAGCTAAGAGCTCTCAAATGACCTCTGAGAAGATGACAAGTAGACTATTTTCAAAATACTAAAACAGAAAATACTGACGTTATATAAAGACAAATCAGTTATAAGAGAATAATGTGTTTAATAAATATAACAAGAACATGCAACATAGCAACAATGACACCGAGGAAAGTAAGTAAACTTATTCCCAGCTGGCTTCAAGAGATAGTCAGCAATGTAATGGATTTAGGAGCAGTTTCAAGATATAGCTTTAGACCCGGAGACTACTTTGAGTACTGGTCATATAAACTGTGTGGTGTCCTCATCTATCTGTAGTGCTTTAAAGTACCATAATGAATTTCATTTCATTTTGTAAGCCCTAGTAGAGGGTACAACATGTATTTATTATCTTTATATAATTTATTGTTATTTTCTTATTATTCTTATTATTTTTTTTACTTACAAACATTTTATACACCATTACTATGAGTAAATTTTATTTTAAATAATGACAATCAAAAACACTAGTTCCTAATAAGAGGAAATTAAATACAATAATAGAATAAAAACACACACATAATCAAAGAAATATGTCTTGCACATGCCTAAGTCCGGCTCTGATTCGATTGAAGATTCTACATTGGATATCCTTTTGATATTAACCAGAACTACTGTACATGAATGAACGGGGACACCAAAGTTGTCACATTTTAAAGACGAGCGCGCCGAGTACACTCTCGCACTCGCCAACGCTCGCCTTGCCTCGGCGAGAGTGTACTGGGGGCATTCAACTCCACGCGGTGTTTATACTATGTTCTGTCTTAGTTAATGCATGAGTTAATACATAATCATTAACCTATACACTTGTCTATTCACTAAAAGTGATAATCACGCGGAGTTCAACTGGACCCTTCGGGTGTCATAAAACCATTCCTCATCCAAAATCTGACCGACCCACGGAGATGGTCAGATGATTGGTTTAGTGTTCGAGCGGGGCAGAAATACTATAAATTGCCACGGACTCTCAGCCAGTTACACGAGGAGTAGTGGGAAATTTATAATTCCTATTTATTTTCTCCATTTTTTTAGACTTTACGTTAACACATTAACTTTTCTCACTAAATAGATACGACAGTTGAAAAAATTATAACAGTTTTATCTGCACTTTCCTATTTATATATTAGGAGTTTGTTAATGCTATTTAACTTTTATGGGTATTACGACTATTAGAGCTGTTAATAGACTGCTAATTAGTTATACACTTTGTACTTAAAACATAAATTATGTTTTATTTATACTTCAAAACACGTATACTATTGAATTAATTACATAATATTGTTATTGTTATTGTTTAAGTTCTACGATTCACATTTTTTTTATATTATATATGTTTTAAGGTACAGTTAAATAAATACGAGGGAACTTTAAAATCCAATTATAAAAGATCAGTTTATCGTTTTTTTAACACCACCAATGCACCATAACGGGTTAAGAGCTTTCGTAAAGTACAACATTAAAGGCAATCTCAAGTTATAGATGAAGAAGCTGGCCTAAATATTCTAGCCTAAACTTTCGAGTTATAAATTATATCAGTTTATACAAATTATAAACAAGATTTTTGAAACAGATTTTTTTCTACTAACAAATCTCCCTACAAATTATTTGTCTTATAGTAGGGTCTAGTTTTAGGAGTATAATGTACGATTATTGTGTTTTTGAAATATATGGCTTACAAAGCGCAAGACTACTTTTACAGTATTTGAACGCCTACAATAATTAATAGAAGTGTCCTTGCTTCCAAGACAGGTTTGTGTTCTTACAGATAATAGTTCAAGTTCATACTTGTGTTTCGTTTGAACAATTACAAGCCACTACAAACTTAATTATTTCTGCCTTAATTGGTAAAATAGATTACTATAACTTTGGGTACTTAATATAAATTGAAAGTTAGTACAGTACAACCTTCAAAGTAGCGAGGCCTTAAATATTAACTAAGTAATGGGTAACGACATCATTCTAAATGGTAATTTCTCATTCGCTTTTTCCCTGAACATTGCCAAACTGACCTCCCTTACCTGAAAAATATAATCCGCCGTGGCAATTTCAGTATTTCTGCCCCGCTTGAAACACCCTTATAATTCTTCCTAGCTGCTGTGACATTTTCAGTATGGATTATGATCATAAAATTTCGTAGCATTTTCATATCGCCAAAATGAATCCAAAACATGTGGTTTTCTGTACTCACCATTTTGGACGGCTGGTGGATTTGACCAGAGGTGTCATGCCGTCTCTGAAGCAAATCCTCTTCTTGCTGAAGTTGACTACGTTGAAGACCACGTGCTAGGCTCAAGTAAAATGAGATTAAAATCATATACATGCCATTGAGACCCATTTAAATAACAGTAGACTAAATATGGTTAAATAAACTGTTCTCTGTTCAATACCCTGGATATTGAACAGTTAACAGTTTATTTCACAATTTAATTCTTCAATATCCAGTAGTAGGAAAATAAATTTTGATATCGTTATGGTTAAGATAGAATTAGGCCTACAAACAAAAAAAGTAATTTTGTATGTTCTATTGTTTTACTAAACGCTAATAAAATCTGCTGCTAAAGATATGCCATTATCATCATTTATTGTTCATCATTTTTATAGGATGAGCTGGGACTTTTGAAAAACACCCCCGCAGCATCAAACCTGCAGACTAAGTGAATTTCCAACTGCCTGATTGAATTTGCACTAGACATTTTATTTAAAATTTTAGATTTATTCCTCATTTTAATAACATTTAGTGAGTGCTTAGGTTTGCTGCTACAAGAAATTTTATAAAAAGAGAATTTTCCAAGTAATGCTAAACCTTAATTGCATATACAATACCTTACAAAAATTATATTACAAAAACTATGAACTAAAGGAAATCTACCAAAATCAATAAAACAAACCAATTTAACCACTAAAAACCTAAATTAACCCATTCATTTTTAAAACCCAGGAATGACATTTCAACTATCAAAATCGCTAATCATCATCAAACATCAAGCAAAGAGGTGGTGTAGGGTACAGTCTAAACGGGAAAATGGGGGTGGAAATTGTGCGGTTGACTGTACAAGAGCAGATTGATACAGGGACAAGGCCGTATGGGCTTCGCGACAAAATGGAGGCAAAATCAGATGATTCCCGTCTATCTGTGGCCTGGAGAGGGTGAATCAGATGAGGGGTTGCGCAGTTGGTACTACTGCAACACCGCTGGGGTGTTTAGGGGTTGGTATCACTGAGAACACACCTCAACTTTGTAATGTCCTGATCCTTAGAAATACAATGGTTATAAGGGAACTACTCTTTTGCTTAAATCCTTTTTCAAAAATGTAGCCTATATTTTGGTTTGTTCTGCTAAGTATAGTTACAAAGGAATTCTTGAAAAATATTAAGTTTTATGGACCATATGTATAGAACTACGATTTAACCTATTAAACAGTACCATTTGGAGGTTGGACCTCGTCAAGAAACGCCTAACAGGATACTAGTCAGTCCTACAGAATAACAATTGAACGGAAATTTTGGACGTATTGATAAAACAACTTATACATGAATAAATAGAATACACAGGAATTATACACATTAAAAACGTATTAAGCGCTTCAGTTTATGCCTAGTCACTGGAATACGAAACAGTTCCAAACATATATGAATTATTTTTGCTACGTTTTATTCAAATAAAATCATAATAAAACGACAAAGTTTTACACTAAATTTAACTCCGATTAAGTATATGTCTAAATTTCGAACTTATCATGAATCCCTTCAAACTAATCACATCACATGGACTCCTCCAAAGTTGAATCCGGTACAGCAAATTAAATATTTACATTAAAAAATAATTTTTCAAATGCGGCTTAAACAAAATTTTTTTATAATATTTAAATACTGGCTTGAATAATACAATACCTTTGAATAAACCAAATACAATTATTGACATTTCTTAACTTTAACACTGAACAATCAGCTCAATAAATAGAGTGTGTTTCAGAATAAAATCAACGTATTAGCAGTTTGTTACGCTGAAAATTTCCTTCAAGTATACTATCTCTGGGTAATTTAACTGGTTATTTTAATGAAGTTTAAATATACCTCATTCAAAACTGTTCGCAATGAATTAATGCTCACTGAGCACTGAATATCAATGTTTCGGTTTCAAATAGAAAATTATAAAATAGGGTTAACGTTTTATTTTACTTTGTGGCTAGTTTCGATAATTTTAAAATCTGCTTGTTTACGCAGGTAAAATAACATGTTTACTTAACAACAGTAAGCCACGTCAGCAAATATATGCTATCACTGACTGATGACCCCGTTTACAAATCCATATTGTTGTTTTCATCAGTTGAAATAACCATTTTTTACTATTCTAATCACTTGGCGTGTTGTATTGTTGGATTGTTTTTTATCGTTGCAATTTCTCTTCGTCAACGACACCCAACGGCGCAAGGTCAATAATCGGCCGGAGATAACCGAGCGTTGCCGAGGATGGCCGAACTGTTACGAACACTCACCCTCCATGTATCAACTTATGAATCACCCTGTAGGCCGTTGACCTTCCATCCCCTAGTTTGATTCACTGGCCGAGCTACCCTTTTAAATAAGGGGTATCCCTCTTCCGAATTATTTTTGCTTCCCACTTCCCTGAACGAGTCACCCTCTGGCTGACTTTCGGCTCGGTGACAGAGAAAAACTGTTCGGTTCGACTGAAGCTTCTGAGATAACAGTAGAGTTTGGGATGTCAAGTAAAATATTTGAGTCTGAACATTCCTAAAATGTTTGATTATTTTGGTTAAATAAATGTTTAATGTTTGAGTGGTTTTTAACAAATACCAAGATGTCTATCCTACTAACTTATTTACCTTTCACAATTCCCCCCATGAGATCAAGTTTTGCTAGAACACGTAACGAACACTTAAAAAATAATGACTTACCTACAAATAGAAGAGTTGTCTTCATTTACCGTAATGATCAGAAATTAGTTAAATATGTTTTGATAAATGTGTGTTTTAATTGTTGCTATTTTAAGACAGCGGGTTTAGTTTAAAACTCAGCCCCAAATAATTATAAAACAGTGAGACACCTTTAAACAACATAACTGCTAATATGATTGTAACCCTGTTTTCTTTACTTCATTGCCGATCAGCTAATATGCATCGTTCCAGTTATCTAAGAGGTTTAGTTTTATTGATAATTTATTGTAAATAAGACGTAATATGTTGTTCTTATGTATGCTCTAACAGAGCATGCAAAAACGCCAATTTGAGACTTAATTCACAATTAGCCACAGAGCCCGTTGTGGTTAAATACAACGGTCCCGAGGAAAATAAAAGTTATGAAATCCCTGCACACCTTTACTCACTAATATTTATGGTACGGATTATGCACATAACTTTAGAAACACACACATAACATAAGGAACACACATAAAACCACAAATGCAAATTGTAAACAACAAAATGCAGACAATGAAAAATTAATTAAATAACTATACAAAAATCTGCACTTAAATTATCAACACATGTGACGTTTCATATGATTAGATTATGCATACCGGCAAATCCATTACTCCCATCAATCTTTCAAAAAATCAAACTTCCATAATCATTTGCAAATCTACATGGATGAAGCTTTCTATTGACCTATTATTTAATAAAATCTGTCAAATAGAGCTTTAGATTCAATGCTACAGAGTTTAACAAAAATATCTCCAATTCAGTATTTTCTAACAACTATAAATTCGGAGGTTGCTTAGCCTTTTTGCAAACAACTTTAAAATGGTAAGGAAATCGACCAATGGTGAAAGTGATATTCAGAAAGAGAATAAAATTTCGTGCTAATTACTGTAATGTAATTGCATGAAAATACTCAAGAAAGGCAGGCTAATGTTGGCTACATGTAGAAACTTGTCAATAGAAACTTGGAAAATACAGTTTTTATTGCATTATTGCTTTTTTCACCTCAAATATTTAATAAAATAAATCTTTCATGATTATTTGTAAATCTAGTAGAATTAGGCTTTCCAACGACCCATTGATCAACAAAATCAATCCAGTAGAAGTCTAGATTTAGTTGTACAAAGTTTAACAAAAATATCTGTAATTAAGTATTTTCTAACAACTATAAATTTGTAATCTCGTAGCTTATTTGCCAGTAACTTTAAATTGTCCAAAAATCTACCAAAACGGATGTGATATTTTGAAAGAGAATAAAATTTCCTACAAATTACTTATGTATTTCTTGAAAATACTTAATAAAGGCAGCCAAAAGTTGTCTACAAATTGAATTTGAAAACAGAAACTAAAAAATTGAGTTTTTAATGTGTTTATGTTTTCTTTTTACTTTTCCACCACAAAGATTTAATAAAACCACACTTTTATAATTATTTTCAAATCTACATGAGTTTCCAATGACCCATTAATCAACAAAATTGGTCCAGTAGCAGTCTAGATTTAGTTGTACAAAGTTTAACAAAAATATCACTGACTCAGTATTTTCTCACTACTATAAATTCGGAGGCTGCTTAGCGACCAAAGTGAAAGGTGATATTCTGAAAGGGAATAACATTTTCTACAAATTTATACCATGCGCCTCTTGAAAATACTCAAAAAGGCAGCCAAAAGTTGCATCCAAATAAAAAATGTGAAAACCCCGTTTTAATGTATTTCTTATGGAAAACCTTTCTTTTAATTTTCACCATAAATCATAACAAAGACAAACTTTGATAACTATTGGCAAATCTACACGAATAAGCTACGAATTAATCAACACACACAACACGAATTAATTAAGCTTGCCAACGACCCATTAATTAATAAAATCTGTCCAGTAGAACTCTAGATTTAGTTATACAAAGATTTTTTAAACTGAATTATATATAAGTAGATTAATTATTAGGTTCCTTAGGCCTAAAACTCATAGATAACTATGCAACCATGCATATAAGTTGATTGGCAATGAAATAATGAATGCAGGGATACGAAAACGGTAGCTTCTTTGTCGTACAACTACTTCTAATTTGGGTTGCGTTAAAACACTCTGTGCAATACGACTTGTAATTGTTGTACGACAAAGCTTTAGATTGTTAACAGTCTAACTTAACCAAAGCATAGATGAATAAACTCTTAACTGTAGTAAAATATGCATGTCCTGTTTACAGTTATATATTATATAGCTCAGACTTAACGAATATTAAGACAAAAAATTGTGTACACAGTATGATGACAAACTGTCAACAAAACTAACATTGAAGGTCCAACACGCATTACACATGTAACAAAAGTGATTTCGAAATGTTTCATTAATGTATTTTATCGCTTTAACAACCTGTGTATAAATGGCACACAATTTTATAAGTGTCCATAATAGCCAATCAATATATTTTGTTAAGTTAAAATGTTTAATGCTAGTAAAACTCCACAATTAAATGTTGTCTTCTTAAAACTGATAGATAACAGCCAATAGATTTAAAAATGCTTGATTACAATTAATTGAACATTTTACAAGATATATTTATTGGGATGTGAAATTCAAGTCAGTATTCAGTAAACTATATTATTCTGTTTTTGAACGACATGCTTTTAGGCGAGGTGTTGAGGACCTTGATGCCGTGGACGATTTTGTGTTGTATATATGTGTGTTTATGTGTGTTTTGACGAGTCCCGGACATCACAGACAAAAATAAAGGTGAGTGAAGCCCACAAAAATCTACGTGAATAAACTATATTAAGCAATCAATCGATTCCAGCAAGCAAAATCGTCAACACATCGTATCTGTGAAGTACCTTCTCGAACAGAAATTCTCCAACTTCCGTCTCTACCATCTCTACCAAGAGTTTTGGTTTTACTCTCTTGTTTCTCTTATTTGGCATATTTTCTTTTAGTTTAATATTGCTATTGACTTTATACAATCCAAGAACTATTCTACAACTGTTTTATTTTTTTGTTCTGGGGGGGGGGGGTAATACTATATTAAAGAACTTGAATTATTTTAAATTGACGGGTTTTTAAGCTAGAATGATTTTTATGTACTGCCTAACTTTATTGTTTAAGCGATATACAAAACTTCTGGCTCAAGAACAAACGCATCAAAAAGGTAATTTGATGTAATTAGTTGTTCAATGATGGTTTCCCGGATAGCTGACAGATTAATTAATGTATTAACTAATGGAGGTTAAAATTTAAGTAATGTTGGAGATCAAAGAGCTCCAAACAGTACGTAGTCTTTTTACAATGTTTCAGTTACAATAATATAGATCAATAACTCAAGGATGATTCCCTAAATCGTGGTTATTGAATATTTTAGTTGATCGATTTGAGTGGTCATTATTGTTTCAAGAATGTATAGGAATACAGTATTTCACCTAGATAAATAGCATTACAAACATTTCCTACACCTCCTTAAGTCACAAAGGAATAGAGCTGGTACAGTAAAAAGATCTTATGGGTACAGTACCATATCGTCCAAGTATTATTTCGTCCATTATCCAGTTTCCTAATGTCATCTCGTCCAGCTTAATTTTACAGTTGGTTAAACATACTAATTAGTGTTATTGTATAGCATCCACTTGAAAAACTGACAAGGGTTAAGGATACCTCTGTTAAAGTATTAAAAATTAAATGTGAAAAGACACACAATATAACAAGGTCAAAATGCCGTTTTTGCATTGAAAAATTGTGTACGTATTTCAAGATCAAACCAAATTGAAAATTGGCTAAATACCACATTCTAGAGGAGAATAATAGATCAATCTTAGAATTTCAATCATAAAGTTGATTGTGGGGTAACATAGTGATAAGTTGTACCTTTCAAATAGTGTTGTATTGAATTTTAGATTTACTCGTTTTCCCACAAAGGTTCTAAATTACCATGTACAAAATACACACCCAACTCAAAAGGTTAAGTCTCTCGCTATGTTATTGTTCAATTTAAGCTGAGCAGTTATGAAATAGATTCAAATTTACTAACTCTATTTCACTAAGTAAAAGGTGAGTAATAGGTTCATAACACATTGTCCTACATGATGGGTTTAGGCATAATATTTAGACTGAGACTGTCTTTATTGTATGGGTTAGTTTTAGGTTCAATCTCTGGGGTGGCGGTGGAACGCAAAAGTAGGTGCATGAGGGGAAACAAGTCTGAAAGCTGATTACAAAATGTTTAAACAAATAATAGTCCTGCCTATGAGTGTTACAGTTTTCCCCCTAAACACCCTCTTACAAAGAGTTTATTTAGTTCCGGAAAATAATTAACCTGGCAAAAACTTCAGAGTTTCCACCCATTACAAGAAACGTCGTTTTGTTTGACGCGAACCGAGTTTTAGCAAAACCTAAACAAGAACCAGTTTAGCTCTCAATCTCCGTTGTTTAACTACTCTTCAACGTACAAACGCACGGAAATGAAATGCTTTAGGCATTGTTTTGTGAACTAGTTAAAGGTTTTAAGCATGTTTTCTTTTTCAGTAAAAGAAAATATAGTATGTCAAACATATCTAATATCGTATTATATTTACCGAACTTATTTACCAGAGAAAATGCAGTAGAAACAGGTTAGGTGTCCCTAGACTATTAACAATAGTCAAATAAATATCTAGAAGGCATATCTAACCGTGTAAGTCCTAGTAACCAAATAAGTCTAAGTAATATCTCAGACCATCTTTTGCAAAATTTAAGCCAATTTGGACCGGTAGTTGGTGCGTAAACACTCTTTTAGAATAGACAGATACCTTTTTTACGTAATAGAGTTAAGTGGTTGGATATTATTAGGTAAGTTTACTTTTACATTAAAGGTGATTTCGAAGTTGGGTAGGACCATTAAATTTTGGATACTGAAATGACACATCTCATCTATATTGACCCTTAGCGAATATGTTCATAGCACAATGAGCCTCTCACAGGAAGTGAGTGTCACGTTTTCCTCTCTTAGTTTTTGATACTGTAACAGTTTATGGAACATACGTAAACAGTGAGTTTTCATTTCAGATTGGCTCAGTTAAAGATGTAAAATTCGGCATAAATAATTTATTAACTCAACCAAATCTTGAATTAAACCATTTGCTAATTCGATTACGTCCCTAACATTTGAATAGGGTGTAAACTACTATCAATATAGTGGTAAAGCGTGGGCAGACACTTTTTTTTTTTGGTCTCCTAAGTCACGAGTTCAAATCCTGCCAATTACCAACCAGGTAGTGACCTGTAGTAACGTGTTCCAAATTTCGCCTAGCGTCCTGACCTAAAAAGATCAATAGTCAAAGATAGAAAATAAACAAAGGTGACATGAGATTGTATATGCGTGCGTGTGTTTGTGTGTGGGTGTGTGACCGAGTTACGCACAACCGCGCACTGTTCCACTGTTGTACTGTTCACCTCGAGTACGAGCAGCTGGCTTTAATTCATTGTTTTAAAATGCAAAGAGGGGGTGGTAGAGTGTTCGAGGGGCGGGGAACCGAAACTAAACAGAAAACTTGCTAATTGTGTTCTCTGCCCGTTGTCAATCTGACCGACGATATTGCTGAGCTTACTTCTGAGGTCTTTGGTCGCTCTTCCCGCCTTATGAAAGATCAGATACGAATGTCATATGAGCAGTCGATCTTAGGACGAAGAATGTGTTACACGGCAGGGAAATACACTTGAAACTTAGCTTACGCTCTGCAATTTAAACTAAACATTTATAAAACGTCAATCAACATTGATGGATAACATAAAAAATATTACGTATTTACTATGGGATATTGTAAAAACACGGGCGGTTAGAATTTGAGGAATTTCAGTAGTAGAAATTAAAATCGTTGCAAACACTGTGTATGCCTACCTTTAAAATCGACAAATTCACTTCAACGCTTACAAAAACTTTCTTTGCGGATAACAAAATCTTCTTTGCTGATTCACGAATCTTTTGCGATAAAACAAAACCTGCTTTCATTCAGAATCAGATATTATTAAGTACAATGATTCAGCAATTCAGTAATTATCATTATTGGCAATATAAACTGACTGCTTTCCGAGTACTAGCAAACAATAGACTTATTATAGACCTCCTGTAGTTTAATTTTATGATGCAGAAGTAGTCTTGTAACTGTTATATATTACCACACTTCCAAAAATCTTTGCATTGCCTTGATTGGTATAGTGTTACGCAATTAGCTGGGCTCAGTTCAATTAAGTTTTAATAATGTTCCTTTCGCGCAGTACTGAAATATGACAGTATGTCTGTGGAGTGTGTGGCTAGCCAAGAGACTATAGCCTCTTTGACTTTGGCATATCAATAAACATTTAAGGCTTAGGACAGACTTCCCCAAACAAGGTTAGTGCCATTTGATCAAGGGATAAAAAAGTAATGTCAGTGATCCAAACACAATTTTAAATTAGTGGATCAGACCATTCGATGCCAAAGATGTTATTTCAGAACTCTATGACATTCCCAACTCTTTACCCTTGATTTACCTGGTCAAGACGAATGTTGTCCACCGTGAAGTAGAACCAGAGACGGACCCTGGGGTTGCACGTGTCAGGGCGGATGAAGAGGTCGTACTCAAACTCCGAGACCAAATCCACACGACCCAAGTTTCCTATGAGACACAAACGTATCTTTGAAATTTACAGCAATATCTAAATAAATAATCCCTAACCTTACCAAACGTTCCCTTATTCCATAGTCTCCTCTACCAGGCCGTGGCGAGACAAAAGTGGCAACACCGCAATTCCGGCCTACAGAGACAGCTGACAGCCAAAGTACGTTTGTTATTACTGTTAACTATGACAATAGGCCGGTTGGTGTGGCGTTGCCACATTGTTGATCGCAGCCTTGTATTAAAGGAGGTTATGCTCATTCTCAATATATAAACTACTTTTAAGCTTCTGATTAGCATCCCTTTTCTATGTCCAGTGAAGATGTATTAGTTTTTAAATCAAATTAGATTGTTATTATTCTACATTTCAATCGGTCCAAGATTGTGAGTAACAACTACCTTTTCCAAATTTATTTGAGAAGTTATTAATTGTATTTGAGAATCATTACTTGTATTTGAGAAAATACCAAATGTAAATTAGATAAGTCAGTTAAGTTTGATAAAACATTAAATGTAGTTGAAAATAGTCAATTTTGTATTCGAGAAAGTATTATGGAATTGAGAAATCTTTACTTTAATTTCAGAATGAAGGCTTTTAATTTGAGGAGTTGGATATAATGATTGTAGCCTATTTTATTAAAATATCCATATAAAAAACAGCATAATTTTGAGTTTCTCATTATCAAATCACATGTTGTCAAATACATTTAATAACTTCTTAAATATATTGCACTGCTCTAAAATTAATTAGATGACTTCTCAAATACAACTAACTATTCTCAACTCCATTTGATGTTTTCCCAAATATATTTGACTAATCTCAAATACAATTGATATGTTCTGAAATAAACATAACTGGTTCTCAAATAAAATTTGAAAAGATGTAGTGTGTGTTGACCTTACGTCAATTGATTGTGATGGGTTTTTTACGTGAGGTTGTCGACATAATGCCAATTATTATTCAAGGTTCCAATCATGAGCATCGCAGATACCCGTGACATATACTAACCAATTCTAAGTATATTTTGTTATCAATCGTGGATCATCGTCATTCTAGAATGTAAAACTCAACCTATACTCCCTTTCCGTAAGTTTCCAGTAGATTTAGGACTTTCGACAGATTTGTTCTCTTCCGCCTTTAAGGAATTGGGGACTCTTTTTACCTTCCACGACTTCAAAAGAAAATATTAATTACTTTAGATCTACTGTATTTCCCAGGTGGTCTGGTTAAGGAACTTGTTTGTCAGGATATGGTAATAACGTATTCAGACTGTAGGATATTCCGGTTTGTTAAGAGGAAGACCAATAATAAAAGTTCTCCGAGACACTTACCGGACTCAAAAGAAGCGTCAAAGCAGAGATGGCCTCTCTTGGCCTTGCCGCTGTGGCCTGGAGGCCTCATGATCACCCTGGACACATTGCCCATGCCTCCTTCATTCTCACTGTCGTCGCTCTCTGTAAAATGGCCTCGTTTACTTATTGACATTAATTCATTAACTTATGAATCAGTTCATACATACTGAAGGATAGTTTCTGTGGAGATTTCAGAGTCTGGAGGGAGTGGAGATTAACGCCATAATTGATTTTAGCTGTCGTGACACATGTCTCTATGGAATTTTTTAAATGCGTAAAATATGAATATGTAAACTTCCTTGAGGTAGATTGGTAGGTATCATGAAGTATAATCCAACAAGAATACTTCTTCAAATAGTAACTTTATTATTAAGTACAGTACAGTTAATGAATATTAGCTGTTGAATAATCGTATAAGCCAAAATGTGAATAACAAAATAGTTTCCTATTCATATTTTCATGCTCAAGTATAAGAGGATGTATGGTTAAAATGTTGCCAAACATAAAATGCTATGCAACTTCATTTGTTTTAAAGATAGCCTTGAAAGAATCCATAGTATTTTTTTTTTATGTTTTCTATTCAAAACAAAAAAGGACCTCACACAATAAACGTTTGCATCTTACATAACCTACCAAATTTTATTTGTTTATGTGTAAAAAATGGATAATGTACAGGGTAGGGCAATGAAAGCACCCCAATTTATAAGTAGTACAAACTCAATAATATTCACCCTATGGATATAAATAGCACATCAAAATACAGCTTATCTCTTGCCATTTTAACTTAACAAAGTCATTTTTCAATTTCTTGAAAACAAAATCCTGCCATTGATGTCCTTGTCCTACTTGACATTCCTTTTTATTATTCTACATCGGTTCAAGCAAATCTGTGGGGTGACTTTGAAAAATCTCGAACTTCAAGTAGCTTATAAGAATAACCCCCCCCCCCCCCCCAAAGAAAAAAAGGAGCCAACGTAAAGGTTTCCACAACAAAAGCTTCCAGGCAAATCTTTTTGGACTTTGAGTTACTGCGACTCGAATTCTTTCAACATTTGCTGGTGTACAAACAGTTTTGTGGCTCCCACCGATTATTTTTATGGCTTAAGCTGTCCTAAATAACTTTACCCAGTTCACAATTGTTTTTCAATCTGGAACAGCACCATGTTGTTCAAGGATGGAATGTGGTCCAAACAATCTCTGAGTTTTTGCACAAGAATCACTATTTTAAAAAAAAAGGTCGCCACATCAAAATCTAAGTGATAATAGCCACAGGCATAATATTTACTAAAATGGCATAGTTTAATTGATGTTATAAGCACAGCTGTTCATTCGTTGTTGCTTTACCTACTTATAGTGTGACAACGAAAGAAAATTGGGGTGCTCTCACTGCCTCACCCTGTATTACCTCAAGTACCAATTATAGCCGAATGAAAACCAATCATAGGAGAGATATTTTCTTTTGCTCACGTTGCTTTAAATCGGGAAACATTAGTATTGCCGTAGTACAGTGCCACTTCCGATTACATGGGATGACAACGCCGTGGGCTGAGCACGCCTTGGAAAATTGTGGAATAAATGGCGTGGGCTGACAGCGCCACCTACAACAGGTGACCCGTCAACTTGCTCTGTACTTCAATGATATAGCTGGAGAGGCTTTAGGCTTATAGTAGTATGTTTTCTGTGCTTATAGTCATAATGTATTAATGGCCGTATGAGTGCCATTTACCCCAGCGCCAAAGTCGTTGTTCGAGAATCAAGTTGGGCACTTAATGTTTAAGGCCTTTGTTGAGATAGTCAACAAGGGTCATATTTTTAAACTTTTCTGAATTTTCAGTTTTAGGCCTATATTTAACCTATAAATGATCATTAGGGATTGCAATTAGACGAATTAATGCTGTGTCCTTTATAGGAATAGGGACCCCTAGCAGCGCTCTAATCCCACGGCACTGTCATCCTACGGCGCTAATAAGCCACGACACCACCATTTCCAGCCTCTTCAGTTTACTGTGTAAGCACGCAGATTGCTGCTCATAGGGCAGTGAAGATTCTTTAGTATTGGTGATATTGTGACTTTAACAATGTTGGCGGTCTGAGTATCGATTGTCTGGAGTTAGCGTGATCCTCAGAGCATGGCAAAGCCGCACGAGATGTTGTAAATACCACTGTATAAACTCAAGATATTGAACAATTTATGCAATCGAATCATTCAACCATACAATATTTATGACTAATCAACCCTCCAACTGGCCAATCGGTAGAACGTTCGATAATTTACCATTCAACAATCCAACAATTCAATAATCATCTAACCAATCAATAACCATGGCAGTCAACACGATACATCACTCAACCAACCATCCAACCATCCGATCATCGACTAATTAACCGTCCAACCTGTTAATTGTAACATCCCACCACTCAACCATTCTGTTGATAAGCCATTCAACCATTTGGTAATCTAATCATTCAATATGAAATCATTTAAACAATTAACAAAAAATACAATCGTTGTATTCAAACATTCAACCATTCATTCTACTAATTATCAATCGTCCATTAACATAATAATTTTTATCATCCGATATTTATATTACTAAACCGTTCAATTGTTCAACCAATCAACCATACATCGTTGATTTACTCTTTAACCAACCAATCTACCGTGCAGCCACTCAATCGTTGTGACCTCCAATCATTTAACCAATAAACCATCAATCCAAGGTTGGTGGTTTACTCTGTAATCTACCAATCAACCGTCAAGCCCGTCAACAATTGTAACATCTAATCATTCAACCATTCATTCAATCAGCCAATCAACCATCAAATCATTGAATCGTAAAATATGTTAATATCCAACAATCAAATCAAACTACTCTTCGGTAACAATACTATCTTTACTCGCAACCATCTGATCATATAGCCTAGGTTGAAAAATTCAATTGTTTGGTCATAAAATCTCTCATAATTCAACTGGGTATGATTCGTACAACTGGTCGTCACATTGATTAAGCAAAAAACCATCCAATCATTAAGGCGTCCAAAGATAATGTTTTAACATCATTATATATAATTGAACCTTCCAACCAATGTATACGAAAACCTATTACATTGAGAACAATTCAGTTTTCATATGTCGAAACTTAATTGTGACTTGGGGATATCGCATTATTAGGAGTGCGATTATCGCACAAACTTTTACACAGCTGTTTACTATAATAGTTGTAAGTTAGACATATGACTATGTGAGGTTTAACCTAGCGTTTTAAAGGTTTTTTTTATTAGTAAATATTGAAAAAGCCTTTTTTCGTAAATTTAGAGGAATGCAAATATCTTTCAATGAGATCTGTATACAAAAAAGTAAGCTATTAGCCAAATATTCCATTTGGATTTTAAATTTATCAAAATATCCACCGATCTTTGAGGCCCTCTGACTCTGAGCCACAATTCCATTTTACTCGTTAGCTGATCACGTTAGCAATCTTTTCTGGTAACTTTATTGTTCTCCAATTGTCTTCTGATTGATCAGACTTCAGGATATTTTCACGTGTGTATTTATTCAAGTTTGTGCCTATTCAATACGTTTAGTAAAGTAATTTAAAAATAACAACTTCTTCATGGGACACTCTGCATACTCAACCAAATTTATTAAATTACGACATTACGAATTGCATTATGATTGCCTTGGGATCAATCTCATGACATTTCGGGTGACCAGCTATAGTGGGTTCCTAACCACCCTGTATAATGGTCTACGGACCATAATGAGGTATTAATAACCAATCAGAAGCACACGTAGGGCTCAGCAGGCCACCTTTGTGAGCTGGCTTATGGTTATTAAGTATTCAGCATCACTTAGCTGACGTTAGCTGGCCAACGGATATCTTGTTACGACGAAATACTCCATACACTGTACACGGGTAAATTATACATGGTGCGGTAATAAACGAATACGGAAATAAACGTTCAAGACCTTGTTGTACCGTGTTAAACTATTATCTTTAAATAATTACATTTTAATGTCGCATATTAAATTAAAGCTGAACTCACGAGGATTACGAATTTTCAAACAGAACGAAAATAAGTATAGTGGTTTCCAAGATACAGGGTATTCTGTAAATTCGTCTAGTCCAAAGCTTTAAAATGATGCATAACATGACATATTTTTACATTCGAAAACTCTGAGATTCGAACCCATAACCTTCAGTTCCTGGAACACCCTCTATTTTAAAAATGTTAAAAATATTTATACGTTGTTCCTTGGGTATGAATTAGACGGGAAAAGTTGTGTTTCATCTCTGTATGTCTAGCCGTTCATCTGTAATCTGTTTAGGACAGCTTAGAAGACTCACCCGTATACCGGTATCACGATCAATTATATAAACGTCAAATTAATCCACCTATAAAATTAATATAAACTTTAACATCCCATACACAAGAACACAAACGCAATGGAAAATATTCAGCAGACGAAAGTTATAAATCTCAAAACACTTAACACTAAACAATATAAAAATTATATAGATACAAACATAATCGGATTCGATTTGTTTGGAGTTACTTTCTCCTATCAGTACAATACTGTGAACATTTTAACATACAGCAATTAGATGCAGCTTTACTAAAAACGCATTTTATAAATACATTGAGAGAGAAAAAACTGTACTTATATTACTTCCTAAAAGGTTACCACGTTAAATAATTTATATATGCTACAATATCACACAAGCTTTCTACGTTCAAGTCACTTTTACTGGCGTAACACTAAACATAAAACCGACCAGACATAAAAGCTTGTTTAGAGGCAGTTCGTTCAGTGTCAATCTACTGATTCAGTGCCCAGAAGCTTCTCTGTAGCAAGAAACGCGCTGAGTTAACGGGGTTTATATATACGCTTTTAATCCTTACTCGATGTAAAGATCTACTAAAAATACTTTGTTATAAAGCTTAACAAGTACCTTTATAAGATTACAAATCACTGATATGTGTTTTAAAAACTTAAAAAATCGTGTTTACAACTTGAAAGTAACGTCGAACGTATAGGGACTTTGTGAAAAAGTAAAGATATTTTTTTATACTTATGAATGTATGACTTCACTAAATCAAAACAATCTATTCAGAAATAAAACACCACACAGGTAGAACACAAAAATACTCTGAAATTTATGAAATCATGTCCCTGCAAAACTAAGCTTGAGAGCAAGGACCGAATCGCAACATTAAACAATTACATCTTTAGACTATACACTATATATTAAGACATGACAATTACACTATTACATTGTCAATGTTGTAGCTATTATAATAGAATGGCTGTATCTATGTGAAAGAAGATGAGGAGGTTCCGTAAATCCGATATTACCTCAAGACGAATAACGAGCATAGATTACTCGAATCTATGTAAGTAATACGAAAATTGTTTCCTGTACGCCGAATAGACCGGGCCACAATTTTATGTTATTTTATGTTTACTTGAAAAGAATATACTATCAAAACAAATAAGCAGTACAATGTCTGGGATGCAGAATTTTTATTTACTCAATTCTATTAGTTAATTATTACTGTTTAAATCCATGAGAGCAAATCGAATAGTCAGGCGTGGGGCTTGGGTCCCCGAGGTTCCGGGTTCAAATCCCGTGATTGACTAATTACTTTAGCTACGGGATGATGCCGCAACCCTCTATAACTAGAAAATAAATACACTGTCAAGAAATTTACAATTATTGAAAAAAGTATAAACATTCAACGTCCATAATAACCTCATGTTTCAAATTTAGACTAAAATTACGAAGTTTGTAAGCTATACCTGATGAAATACGATTATGTTATTACAGCGAGGAAAATGCTTACAAGTAAAATAAATTTCTTCTCAAAAGATTGAAGGTAGCCTTTCCCACCCGAGCAAAGCCCTGTAATTTTAGTCTGAAGAGAAAATTCGCTGAATTTCATCAAGAAGAAAGTGAATTTCGGAAGAAGAGAGTCGCAAATCAGAGTGTATTAGATTACTTGAATTTACGAAACATCGAGATTCAAAATACAGTTTGACGTCAAACCGAAATCTTATTGGTAAAGATTTTTCTACGTAGGCCTAAATAATAATGTTATATTATGTGTTGTATTTAAAATATTTCTAAATTACTGATTGTATCAATGGAGTTGTTTGTTATTAACAATACAAAACGTTAAACGGAGCTTCATGTAGTTCTAGGGTAAAATACGTATCTTTCTTCTTTCACCTACAATTTTGACACGTAGAGCTACACCCACCATCCATTTACGCAGTAGCCTTCCCTTGCTTTGCAATAAGGTGTGAACTTTTAAGACAAGAGAAAATGTATCTTCAAAAACTATTCGATATAATTTGACTCAAGCAGTTACATTTTACTAGACGGTATATATATACATATAATAATACAAAAGCGATTGTATGGCTGGTAGGAGGGTTGAGTGTGGTGAGTCCCACACTTTAGCCCCAAGGAACGAGGGTGTGCGTACAGCGTTTAACACCTTCCGAAAAATAAGATAAAAGGTGTCTACCAATCACGTCGCTCATTCGCTCGCCCAATTGCCGATTTCTGCGCTATCTCCGAGTGAGCGTATAGTAAAAATATAACTATTCATCCCTACTAGGCCAATATTTAATTTTGTTATTAATTTAAACACATGACTTGTCTTTGGATGCAGAATTGAGTTATTTTGTATGTTGAAAGAAAATCCTAAACACGATTTCTTAAAGAGAAAATGTTGAAGCAAAAGCATACAAGGAAGCAAACCTTAATCGTAATGTATGATAATTACATTCACTACACTGTTTCATTGTGTGATAGGTGTAATAACTGAGAATGAGAATGAGAATGAGAATTTTATTTAGTCTTTTAAACATGCAGTTACATGCAATCAGACAAGTATGCCTAATTTATAATAATCATCTGAACTGTTGTACTGTTGTGTATACCAAAGGCTCTCTACAAGAGGAAGAACAAGACTTGACTCAGATGTCGGGAAGTAATTTAGGCCTACAATTGATACTTTAAAAGGTGGTACTTAGTCCAATAGCTACCGTAATGACGCTTGAATATTTATAAATTATTGATGTTACCAGTTAACTGAAGATTATTATTAAAACATGCTTTTTATGTTCATAACTCTCTGTGAAATCTTGTTTACTAAGCCTCGAGAACAGCGATTCTAAATACAAACTTGAGAAGCGTTAACGTTTACACTGTCGCAAGTGTGGGTACTGTGCTGCTGGATACCTCATCCCCCCTCCCCCGCCCACTATGATCTACGGTGCGGCGATCTAGGATTTAAAGTGAGTTGTAAACTGCAGGATGACAAACCTGAGTCGAAATCGCCCATTTTACCGGCTCCTGACTGACGACTACCTACACCTACAGTAGTGCCCTAGACACCTGTAGGCTGCTCTTGTTTTGTCGATAGCTAGACGCTACCTGTGCCGACGCGCGTCTCTACCTAACCTAACCTCGGCCGGGCTCTCCGCCTCGGCTCACTCTAGCCTTTTAATTGTCACACCTTTCTGCCCGATCTTTATTACGAATTCAATCGATTTATCGCCAAACCGGCAGATAGCTGAGAGCGAGGCGAGTTACGCGCGTGCGCCCCTATCAGCCCGGGGTAACTATCGATCGTGAGGGTTCCGTGGCTACCAGCGGCTGGTGCTCCGCCGAACAAGTAGTCCCCGTCTTTAAACGACAATTCCGCTGCTCTCTCACCTCGGGACAGGTAAATACACCTCAAGACGTCCTCTGGAGCACAATCGAGTATTCTGACCTCGGCACAGAAGTACCTGAGCTCCTACGAGACATTGCGAAAATCGTTACCCTTTGCGCTCTGTCCGCCGCTGCTGACGATCCATACCGATACCCGGTCGTCATTTAGTTCCCGCACGTTGATGCAACTTGTGTTTTGTTTCCAGTAGTTCAGCACTGATTATTTTAGCCGTATTCGTTACTTTTGATTCGGAAGCAACTCTTCAGTTCGTCATCGTCTTCTCGTCTCGCATCGGTACGTTCACTAGTTTATTTTATTCCTATTGTAAGCTATTTTTATCTCACCCCTTACCCCGCCCGGTGTGTACGCTCCCGTATCACCGTACGCTTTCCAGGAATGTTCACGATATTGTTTTGATTCATTTACAGGTGTTCATTCCCGATTCGCGTTAACCTACCTATTCATTTACTTTTCTGTTATTTTAATTTAAGTCTTCACATTCTTGCAGATAGTTATGTCTGGACTGCAATGTGAAAACTTTTGTTAATAGTTTTGTTTATTTTGTAATTGTACTATTTTCCCAATTTATTTTTACTCGATTTATATTTATTTGTATTTACATTTTTCTTTTATATATTTTTACTTCTGCACCTGTTCCAAAACTTCCATATTTCCTTCCAATCCTTCAATTTCCAAACCCCGATAATGATCTACACGACATACAATATGTATTGTAATACATTCGATGCGCATGTATTTCTTAGTTCTATGATGCATTCGTTGCTATACAGTGTTGTCACAATATATGGTTGCCTGGTGTGAGTATTCCACAATCCCAATGTATTGATTATTCTCGGATCCTAGCCCTAGGGACGGGGGTTCTTCCCTTCTTCATTGACGAATATTAAAACTCCTTCATTTGAATATTAAATTCAGTGATCCTTTGAATTACTCTCCAGCAAAAAAAATAAAGTGTTACTATATAAAATACTTAGGTAGGGGTATTGTTGGCCGTAAAACATGTTGTTGTCAATACCGGGTACCGGGTGTGCGTCAACATATACGTGTTAAGTGCGCCAGTAAAAGCGTCGTTTCTATTTTACTTCCTTTTAGCACATTCTACAAATACTAGGGTACACTTAGTATTTAGTCTGTGATAGGTTAACTGAAAATTTCAAAGTAAGCATTATGCACTACACAGGTGTATTTTGCATTAAGAAAAACAAAATCTAACCGTACGTAATTAGAAATTTGATTAAAACTGTTATTGTTCAAAACGGATACAGTATTACACGAGGAGCTTTAACTAAATAGCCCCTCGTAAATTTAGTTAAATTAGGCCTAACTAAATTAGTTTAGCTAAATTATATTAATTTAGTTACGGCTTATTATGTAAATTTAGTTTAGATAACTAATTAGATATTAACTATTACGGTATTAAAAAAGAACCTAACCAATATAGGCTTTAATTATTGTTTTTATGGTTGCAAATAGATTATTTAAGACTATGTCAATCGGAATGACAATCTATAAAGTTAAATACTCCCTCCAAATAGTTTAAGTAAAGCCATATTATAAAGTATTTTATAGCCAATAAAATATTAAAATCTAAAATAATTTAGTTTTAAGTCTTTTAAAGATTTGGTCAAAACCCTTTAATTACTTTAGGCCAGGTTCTTTTTTACTGAAGCTATTTATTTTTTTATTTTTTTTTATTTTTTTTAAGGATGCCAAACAAGCTGGTGAAATGTACAACAGGGTGAAAAAACTACTTGCTCAAGATCGCAGAGAAAAAATACAGTAATGCAATTCTTATACTCTAGTACATTTTTAACATAATCATTGATCAGTGTGTGTTTTTTTTTGTTTTTTTTTTTTTATATATATATATATATTCATGTAAAGTAGTATTATCATGTAAGCCTTCATTAAATGTACTCAAGTAAAAAATCTGTTAATATTAGTACTCATATACATAATATACTACTCTTAATTTAAGTGATGTGGTGGGTCTCAAGCTTATAGGTTCGAAATACTGTACCTTTAAAAATATAACTTTTAAAAGCTTATCACACCAAAAACCTGTACATTTATCTGTATTATCAATTTATACAGTATTCCTGAAAACACATTTTATATCTAATAAACTGATAAAAATTTGTTTCAAATTTTAAAAAGATAAAGTATATATAAGCTTTATGTATGTGTCACAAATTATACTTCTACAGAAAACAGATTTTAGACAAACCCTACACGCATGAAAAACAAAAATGTATGAATGTACAAAACCTTGATTTTATTTATTATATGTTATATTAATTTTTGTGATTTTTTTTATTTGTAAAATCTACGGTATTGTACTCCGTACACACTTAAGTACTAAACACTCTGTTTTGCATTATATAAAAACTGACCCCCCTCAAAGTATTTATTATTTATTAGCTAAGGTTTTTTTCGATAAAATTATACTGCAATGATTAATAAATGTAAGAAGTAAAATACTATATCTGCATAGTTATTTTAATCCCCTTTCCGGATCATACTGTCCCTCCAGTGTTCAGTACAAAACGCCCCATAAAATTGTAACACAAATTAAGTTATTTCATTTTATAGTATTTTACTAACATACCTATTTTAAAATTCACTCGTATCTCGATAACGACATGCATTAGATAGCATGGATTTGTTAGGAAGTGCTTTACCAATTCCTAATTGTGCTTAAAAACATATGCTTCGATGGCAAAATTCTTAAAAAAGTGCATCTTTCATACATACACAAACCGTTGCCTATTGCCTAATTACTTACCATCAAAAATCTTCTGCAATATCGTGGGTTTAAAACCAATTATATTTGACACCAGATCTTTCAAAAAATTGGAAGGTAGTAAAAACGGCACTCCTCATGGTGTTTGAATATAAAATAAATAGTTCTATTAATGGATAATACTCGCGAGAGGGTATGCGATTGATCAATATTGGCAAAAAATCAGACGGGACTTGAGATTGGTTTAAATCACTACTCTATTTATACTGTATCAATAGAATTTTGAAATTAAACTTGCTCTATAGTTTCCAATAAAAGGCTGGAATTGGCTGTGACGAATTCGTACAAATGTTTTTAAAGGTATCATTTTGGGGTCCTAATTAGTGAAATGTTTTGCACGACAAATCACGCCGATTAACAAGAAAATTAGGGTGCGATTACCTAGTATTCCAATTCACCGAATTGAGGTGGTAATAAAAGAGGCAATTATTTCGTTGTTTTGTATTCCTGGCCCTACAGTGTTTGGGGAAAGCTGCCTAGACCCTCAAATTATATCCCGGGGTCTTTCAAAACCATTAGCCTAAATGTAAAAAAAATCCAAGGCATTTGTACACCTTTCTCTTCTTTTGCATGGTTTAAAAATGTTCCGGTATTTTAAAAGATAATTTAACCAGGGTTTAACCTTAAAGCATCACAAACAATGCCTAAGTTAATTATATTAAAGTATTTCTTTGACCCCTCTATCCTTCATTCTCCAAAAGTATGGAAGACAAATTTCATTTTCAATTAATAAAAACTCGTTGGCCGTTAGAGCACAAGTTTACACAGCCCGCAAAGTTTTTTGCTTATCCACTAAAATAATTTTCTCCCTCCCACTTTGGTACGGATCCCCAGCCTAAGGGATGAAGTTTTGAGCCCAGCCCGGGGTGGTTCTGCCACCTACAACCCCTCCCAAAACCCAGGCCCAACCCGGGGATTACTGGGATGGTGGCGGATTTTGAAGCATTCTTCCTCCCCATTTCGAAGATCACACCTAATAATCCAGTAGACTATATCTTTAGTTGGCTTTGTATATTTTATTTACCCCATTTACTTCTCTTAGCTTTGCGATAACGAAAATGTAGAAGTTTATACAGCTTTGGATAAATGCGAGTTATGTTTATATTTGAACTAAAACCTATTTTACCCAAGCTAGAATGTTATATGACTCATAAAGCATAAAGCACAGGAAATCATAACAGAATAGAAACCGTAACCTTTATGTAAAAAAATAACGATACGCGTTTTCAAACTGAAAAATACAATTTACACAGCATTTTTTAATAAAATTTGTCTTATACATAAAAAGCTAACGCTGAAAAATGTATACATTTCATTAATATGTACTTCTATTGTAGGGGTCTAAGTTATTGATTCGTACATACGGCAAACACATATTCCAGTAGTTGACACAAGCAATTACATTCATTAATGTATCTACTGCTACGACTTCCAATACCTAATAATGATATGTAGATAGTATTAAATCCACAATAGATTCAATCTTATAAAGGATTTAGTAAATTCAAAAAATCATCTACAATAGTGGCCATACACATCCAGTTCAACGCTATTAGTACTCTAAAAATATACCAGCTATATACTATTATACTCACCATATTATTATTCACTCTATAAGATATTAGACTATAGTTTATATTCACGTAGAGAAAGTAATGTAATCACTGATGTGTTTAACAATACACAATACACTACGAACAAGTCCATGTTAATACGTTATAATCAGCTGTTGTGAGCAAAACGCAGTGATACCAACATGAAATCATTAAATTGAGGAGTTATGCAAGTTGGCACCTGTGCTGAA